ACTCCTGTCCAATTTTATGAGAAACATCGATTCCATTTCTATTATTTATTTATTCCGGCCTATTTATACATGTTTTGATGACGCTTTGTGCAGAATGTCAAATCGCCCTTAAGTCAAAATATACAGTAAATATGTCATATTGTACACAAGTCAGATCGTCCAAACTGAAAATGTAGATAGATGCATTATACAATACTGATATTTCACTTATCACCTAATGTAAAATCACAAGCCTGTGATCGTTTTCTTCAAACATCGTTCTAATATTAATAAAGAATGGGGCTAGGCTTTATAAGTAGGCTTATTCTCTCAGCTTATACCATAATATTATGTTTCGTTATTTAATGTGATCTCAACCCCTTAATGTTGCTTAAACGGCCAATTTTTATTTACGCCAAGCTTTACATACGAGTTCTAGTATAAGGTTTTATAAGAGGAACTCTCTTATAGAAGCACTGGCCTAGGTCAGAAGTAGGGACTGTGAATTACAGCATTGGAATACATCAATTTGATAGAAATTTACCTACTTCTGGAGAGATTTACAAGATAAACAAATAATTCAGAAATGCAAAGCGCACGAGTTCATCATATTTTATACACAATCCACTCATTAAAAAACCCTCAAAGGAATTGATCCGGGAGTATCTTGAAACCGTCCATTCCGCAGTATATAGGCCTACAGTTTCTGCGGTTAATTGGTGAAATAAGGTCAAATTGATTATGTAGGCTAATTTTGAACAGACAACCAACTGAAAAGAATTCGAAAATTATAAAAAGACTGGTAGCATAATGTGCATCAAAACCTCCAGAATTGTTTCTACGGAGAAGGGGAGAAGAGTAGGGGCCATGGTCTCCCTCTCATTGAGAAAATAGCTCAAATTCGAACTTGATCTTCGTTTTATGAATATGTATCCACATACCGAATTTCATTTGATTCCATCAAAATATCTAGTTTTAAAAGCGTTTACAAGCAAATGTTGATGGACGGAATTGAAAGAATTTTCATAATCATAATGACTTGATATTAAGGATAAATAGCCTATTAAGAAATGATAATTTTACCACTGGGTATTAACATGATTTAAAGAAACTGTTTTGAAGAAACTTCTCAGACATAAAACAAACAATTTTCAGTTTTTTAATTTTGTGTTAAAGTGTTGAATCCTTACTTACACGAATATAGGTTACACCAGTACTAGAAGCTGGTCGGGCCTGCTAGAAATTTCAAGAGCGGAATTGAAGGATCTTTAAAAATCACTAATTCAGAATTTGAATTTTGAGCTTCCAGTGCAATCGAAAGCAATCTCAGCCTGTACGTTTCTGGGTTTCCAAAGTAACCTATTACGTTCATACGACTGCAGGGATATCAACCAAAATGAAGGGTTGTAGTCAATAGTTTGAAGTTTGTTTCAAGGTCATGTAGATCAGCTCAAATGATAACAGTATCTATTTGCTGAAGTGAAGGTCATTTCAAGGACTTTGTGAAGGCCTACTTTGCGTAAAATAGTGGGTTTAAGGCGTTTAGTAGGATACCATGTAACAATATCAAACATTGTCTTAACGATTCCAAACTTTATGCAAATGATTGACGAAATACAACGGACATCAACTTTTACAAAGGAGTCTATTTTGATTTAACTTTTGTCTTTTGATCAATATTATAAAAGTCTTAAATCGATTTGAAAGTCAAACCGAATGGATTTATATACATTTAGGTTTATTTATCTGAGGGATGACAAGGTCCACAATATCAGTAGAATGTTTTCATTGGACACACTATAATATATTCAATAATACAGTTGGAATTAGTTTCCATTTCATTTATAATGAATTTAATGAGGCTTCAATTTATACAGTTAGTTCAGATAAAATTGAATTTGTAAGTTGGCTGACTAGAAGCACGTGTCATTCACAGCTGTTACCATTCTAGAGAGTATTCTGGGACAGTCACAGTGAACAATTGATATATACAGAGACCAGTCTCTAGATAATAGTTTACAGTTACTAAAATATTTCAAATTATGTATTAGATTTTATAAGAATATTGTTCAAAATGACTTTAACATTAAGAAATATGTGTGGAAGTAAACTATGGTATATAACTGTTATTTTAAGTTTTAATGCATGGTATACCAAGTGTGAAATATTGGATTCTAGAAAGCATATCTGTAAGTATATATTATAATAAATTTAGGTTGTATATACTAACAACTTAGGTTTTGTATATATTTGTTTCTATTTTCACCAAGAAAGCTAGAAACTATAGAAGCTGAAGACCTACTTGCTGCATGGAATATATAATTGATGAAATATTGTGTTGTAATTACAATATAAAGTAGCTAATATTGATTAAATTTTCCATGGTTATGCATATCTAACAACCTATCAATTTTGTGGTTGTTTTAGAGATCCACATAAATGTAACCTAATTTACTAATATTCTTCATGAACAATAATATTTTTGTACTAAGTTGAAAACTTTCCTGATAAACTGAAAAACTACTTAAGCTGTCTTTATCCCCTTCTTTTCGTTCTATGAGTTGTTTGAATTTAAAAGGGGGTGATTTGCTCTGTATAACTTTGAATATGGTTTAACCTTTTTTGAACAAACTTCTAAAATAGCTGGTTTAACCTTTTTAAACAAACTTCTAAAATAGCTTGTTTAACCTTTTTTGAACAAACTTCTAAAATAGCTGGTTCAACCTTTTTAAAACAAACTTCTAAAATAGCTGGTTTAACCTTTTGTAAACAAACTTCTAAAATAGCTGGTTTAACATTTTTTAAACAAACTTCTAAAATAGCTGGTTTAACCTTTTGTAAACAAACTTCTAAAATACCTGGTTTAAACTTTTTTAAACATACTTCTAAAATAGCTGGTTTAACCTTTTTTAAACAAACTTCTAAAATAGCTGGTTTAACCTTTTGTAAACAAACTTCTAAAATAGCTGGTTTAACCTTTTTTAAACAAACTTCTAAAATAGCTGGTTTAACCTTTTGTAAACAAACTTCTAAAATAGCTGGTTTAACCTTTTTAAAACATACTTCTAAAATAGCTGGTTTAACCTTTTTTAAACAAACTTCTAAAATAGCTGGTTTAACCTTTTTAAAACAAACTTCTAAAATACCTGGTTTAATCTTTTTTAAACAAACTTCTAAAATAGCTGGTTTAACCTTCTTAAAACATACTTCTAAAATAGCTGGTTTAACCTTTTTTAAACAAACTTCTAAAATACCTGGTTTAATCTTTTTAAAACAAACTTCTAAAATACCTGGTTTAATCTTTTTTAAACAAACTTCTAAAATAGCTGGTTTAACCTTTTTAAAACATACTTCTAAAATAGCTGGTTTAACCTTTTTTAAACAAACTTCTAAAATAGCTGGTTTAACCTTTTTTAAACAAACTTCTAAAATACCTGGTTTAATCTTTTTAAAACAAACTTCTAAAATAGCTGGTTTAACCTTTTTAAAACATACTTCTAAAATAGCTGGTTTAACCTTTTTTAAACAAACTTCTAAAATAGCTGGTTTAACCTTTTTTAAACAAACTTCGAAAATAGCTGGTTTAACCTTTTTAATTTCTATATTAACTGGTTTTCATATTTGAAGATATACAGGTTATGTTCATCCTTTGTAACAATATTTTTCTGACTATAAAAGCTTCCAGTCTTAAAATAGTACTTGTTGATAGGGAATGTACAGTAAACAATAAATAAATATTATCTATTATAATAACTGAATATAAAGCAGGTGTTCTAGTCTGTCTATATTCCCTAGTTCAATCAATAAACATATCTATTGTCTTACACTGTTCAACATATATTGAATAATAAAAATAATGTTATTGATATTTTTTTAACAAAAAGCACACATGGTATGAATTATTCAGTTATAAATTATAAGCAACTGAACTTCAATTCTTGTTATGGAATTGTGTAGAATATGGAAAATACATGTATTCAATTGTTGGGTAGTATTTCATGCTATTCCAAATTACCGGTCTTAATATGAATACCTTATCCAATGGTAATGGATTTATATAAGCTTTAAAGCTTGTTTCCAAAACCATATGTTTATCTATATGTATATTGTAATATTTGTAATTCTTGAATAAATATTGTTTAAAGTGAAATAAAAATACCTTATCCAAAACACATGTTTGGGAAACATGTAATAAACTCTTGTCATTTATAGCAGGATAAGTCATTGCTTATAAGGGAAAATAATTCATTTAATATTTCTGGCCTATATTGTTATTGAATGTAATCTGAATCAGATGAAAAGAAAATACCTGTCTTTAACAAGTATTTTTCAAAAATAAAATGTCGTTTTTTATTATAATTTCTTGTAAAATGTGTTTTTTAGATATCATTTACTTTGTTTAATAGAATTACAACCATCAATTTGTCTTGAATTAAATTCCAATAAATTGTTATTTACAACATGAGTATAGACAAACAGAATGTATGTTATTTTGATCTAGAGACATTTTGTTTGAAACAACATATAATCATTGAATGGATCATCAAGTCATATAATATTGGTTTTGAATTATTTCACATACAGTATATAATTTCATCCAAATGAAATTTTTTTTTCACCAATGCATATTTCCAGATATTGACGCACGCTTTTATGAAGAAAATAAAATTTCAATATGAAGATAAAACATTGAATAATAACAATATATAGCTTTCTTTAAGCACAGTAGAATTTCTACACCAAGAAATAAGGATAGTCTAGCTTTGACCCCTCCCCGTGTTTTTTTCAAATTTCTTATCATTCACCCCTTTTAAATAACAAAATTTATCCGTTCTCAGAACAGAACAGATGAATTCTATGTATAGCCTTTATAGTGGCTTGGTATAAAAGAAGCTTTTCAGTCCTTACATGCATGATGCCCTCATTGGTAGCCAGTTGGCCTAACGATTCAAATGATTCATAGGATCGCCACTAATTGAGTTGATCTGAACTGAGTTCATCAAGTCAGTTCAAAAACAAGAAAACGAATTAGAATTAATATAACTATAAAATACGCACTATATTATAAATAATAGTAATAATGGAAGGTTTATTAAGTATAATTATTAATAATTACTCTGATTCACCAGTATACCGTCCCTCATGACATTTACTGTTCTACAACATGAAATTAAAAGGTCAGCCATGAAATTATCAGAATATTCTTCAATGACAACCATTCATTTGACCTCAAACTTTCATCTTTATGAGCTACTCAATACAAAGTTCACCAAATTGAACGAACATTTTTTGACTACAAAATATGGATTTTAGAACCAATTAAAAGGCTTTGGGCGAAAATATAACTTTTGAAAGGCATTTAATATTCCACCTCTGGGTACATATGGATAGAAAGAGTGATTATTATCATCCTGTGGTGTATCTTCTATTGACTAACAACAAGATATTTTAAGTATGCTATGATTAAAGCAAACAGTGACAGGACTGACAGGATACAGACAATCAATAGCAATTAAACATTTTATTGCTAACATCTAGTTAATGATGGAGTCTAATATACTCTTAAACCAAATATGATATGTTAATGAAATAGTAAACAAACAACTAACAACAATTGTATGCAAAACATAAATTAAAATTAAACAAAGATTTAAAAGGTTTCCCTGTTCTGAAATGGAATCACATCACATGGAAATATATCCTTGTAAGAACAATTTTTAATTTGTTAGACTCAGTCACAAAAGTAGACATATTTATGAAAGTCAACAAGAATATGATTAGGGTGTCTTCACACATCGCCCCTTCCCATTTCGCCCCTTCTCTGTTAAGTCTCTGTAATGAGCTCTTCTAATGATATTACACATAATTACTTATGATTTACTTTTGTAGAATGTCTAAATTTCCCCTTTACAGGCTTCAATAATTAAAATTGGAAAAAAATCCTTTGATAACATTTTTTTTTTCAGTAAAGTGTCTGCCAGAAAAAGTACATATAAATTATGGAAATAATATAGGTGAAATGATAATAATGTGGACCACACCAGATGATTGTAGTACTATTGTCAGGTTTGATACATCACCCTGGAACTTTCAATACCAAGCTTCTGGTTCCAGTCTTAATATAGAACAAATAAATCAATCCAGTGCTAAATATATTCATAGAGTTATTCTACAGGTAATGTAAAGTCAAAACCAAAAGGCCAATGGGGGAACAATATGTTTATATCTCAAAGCTATTATATTCAGCCAGCTGTAACACTTTTCAAATTGAAAATCTAACTGAAGGTTCATCTACAATTCAATAATATATACCAGTAATAATTTGCAGTCATGGTTGTGAAATTTATACTGTAGTTTTTTTTAAAACGTGAAGGAAACAGTTGTTAGATTTTCATTAGCCGAGATTGAGCTCCTATGTATAAAAATTAAATATTTAAGACAAAAACTATGAAAACTTTAGGTTATGTTTCAATCCAGTTGTTCAAAGGTTTTCTTTTTCAGGTGTCAAAACTGCATTTTTATTACTATGATGAATTTTCATAGTTAAGTTTCTGACGGACACTCTAGGACTTTAAAGATTTCTTCCTCTGTATAGGAATAAGTTAAATTTGGAGCTTGATTGACTGAATTTCACATGATTGTATTAATATTACTATTGTATATTTTAGAATCTAGAAGGAGATAAAACATATTTCTATCGTCCAATAAGTAATGATGTTTCTACTGGACCATTTTACTTTAAAACTAAACCAATTACTAAGGTAAGGTTACATTGTTAACATTAAAGTAGATTATCATTGGTTATGTTTTGAAAAATACTGATGGTAATTGTTTAAAGTAATGAAACATGTCTAAAAATTGAGATTTTGCCTTGGTATTTTTATATATTGAATTTAAAAGGAAAGCGTTCTAGATCTATTTCCAGGAGAAAACGGTGTAGAAAATTTTTTTGTCATGGATGCCAATAAGCCGAATTACACTACCTCTTAGAACTAACATAATTAAATTCTCAAACTTGGACACAGTAGATATTCATCAATGGAATTACCTGGTATCATAACTATATTATAACAGAAACAATCATTTAAAGGAGACTATTTTCTTTACCCACCAATAAAACTATCACAGGGAGAATTTGAAATAGAAAATATCTTTGTATCTTTCTCAACAGGATTGGATACCAAAGTTTTTAATACACAGTACTATAAATACAGATATATTATCTTATATTAATAATCAAGTTTTAACTGGTGATATTACAGCACTATTCTCTACTCACAATTATAATTATGATAATCAAAATATCAAGGTAGGAATTGGGGAATTTATTCACCCTCCTCTTATACTTTTTAAAGAATTTTCAACTATTGTCTTTATGTAATCAAGCAAATGTCTTTTTAAGCTTTTCTGGAATTACAGGAATCACAAATTTGACAGGTTTTTGGAATAGCTGCAATAAAGACCTTTAATTTGTCCAAATACACATACATAAAGTCTTAACCTTTCAATATTTGAAAGGAAGTTTTCGCTCTCGGACATGTGAAATGAAAAATTCAGTGGTTTCACTGTAATCTACAAGAAAAGCTGGTCATATTCCAGAAAGTTGTGCATTATTGTGTGGCTTTGGCAGTATAAAAAAATTAATATGAGTAAATATATGTTTTATATTTATAGTACAATGATGAAATTGTTAAAATGGTAGAGGGGATAACAACTAAAATACCTTATTTATTATCACCTAGTAATCAAGGTAAGTCAATAAAATTATTTTCAAATAACCACTAATACATCTAGGACACTTTCCAGTTTCAGAATAACTTTTTACCATCATCTCCTTCATCTTTTTGAATTACCTAAATAAGCTGAGCTATTTGAAATCTCTCTCACTTTCCAAATACCATTGGCATTATCATGTCAATGAGTTCTCAAAATTGGTCTTTAAAGGGATATCATCATCGAAATATTTGACTTGCATGTAGATAAAGAGTGACCATCCTAAAAATTTCACAAATGAAATATGACTCTGCTTTTCAATGAAAAAGTTCTATGGAAAAGCTGAAACTTAGTTTTATTTGGTAGAAAATTAATAGTTCAATGATTATCTCCTTTTAATGATTTAAAAACAAGGTAATAAAACTGTTCTATTAGTCTAGTTTTATCCAGACTGAGTACTCTATTATCATCAGACCACCTGCAGTAATATAATTATTATTGGACTTGACTATTAGACAGTTATAATACGTGATAGATATATATAAATATTAATTTACATTGCAGAAAAACTGTCAGATATTTTCACTGAATACAGACACGAGTTCTCTATGCCAGGTACAGATTGGCCAATACCAATGAATAAATTATGGTACAGTATAGATATTGGTCCCATACATTTTATCAGGTACACATATAAAGTTTATTTTTTTAACAATAGACCAGTTCAAATGAAATTAATTCTTTGACACCATTGGGAACTTTTCTTGCATCACGAAAGTTTGTAAATACAGTGACTTGATTGGATTGTACATCATATATTAAAAACTTGCCAAACAGGTGCTGTATGACATCTACACAATAAAGGTACCTTACAATGTCAAGATATTATGACCTAGTTCATAACTGCTTGACATTGTGAAGATGATCTCTATTTTCTTTCTGCACCTTATTGGGCAAATGTGCCGAATGAAAAATGCAATAGAATAAAAATTGTTTCCCATAACCTAAGCTTTATCTTATAGTTATTCAACTGAAGTATTCTTTACAAGTAATAAGAATTATAGACAAGAACAAAGAGACTGGTTAATAGCTGATTTAAAACAAGCTAATACTAAACGTACAGAGAGACCCTGGGTTATAGCACTAGGTCATAGACCTATGTATTGTACCAATATAACAAACAGTGACTGTTCAACTACAGATTCTACTGTAAGAGCAGGGTAAGAATTACTTCCAGAAACTATGATTGTTTAGCAGTGTCTAGTACGCGTATTCTGAATAAATGATTTGGTAATAATATCTAGATAGATGAACTGTTGATAATATTACCATTAATGTCAACAACTAAAAGCGTCTAATTATCCAACTCACAATAAATCAATGCATATAGTCTGGGTTATCTAGACACTCAAAAAACTGTCAAAATATTATTTACAACTTATTTTTTAATTCTGAGAAATTGAGATGACACTTCCAATATTAATATTTATATTTTTCTTGCCAAAGTTATTCTCAGCTGGATTTTTGAGAATTAAGATAAGTAGTTCATTATGTGTCCATTGATATCATTATAGATTTGAAGATATATTTTATACTTATGGTGTAGATATAGTACTACAATCACATGAACCACTATATGAGAGATTATGGCCTACCTATAAAGATGTGGTATTATCTGATAACTATACTAATCCTATGGCACCTATACAGATAACAGTAGGTCCTACTGTAGATACCAATATTGACAATAATGATAATAATACAGAAGGTTAGATCAATAATATTATATAATCACCTGGTCATTTATAGATCATTATCAGCCTTGTTATGGTTAAATTTCAAGTAAGTTGAAGTAACACAGAAATAGTATCAAATTTTGGAACGGAGTCCACATGGAATTACTGTTTGTTACAATTATAGTTTTTGATAAATTGGGAATAATAATTTGTGCAATTTTCATATCATAAATTCCAATCGTTCCTATAATTGACGATCTTTTACATCTTGAATAAAGTTCATGTGTACTCTGTTATGTAATGGTGTTAACATTGCGTGTTCATGGCAAGAAATGACCTGTGAACAGCAATGTAGAAAGATACATTGTTGACTTTTATCCATTCTTTATTTTCAAAATGACTTAGTATTGAGTCTATTTGTAAACTTAAATTTTCACACAATATTTTTCTAAGGCTGCTGTCCATAATTCATTGTTCATGCTCTCATACTGACATGTCTGTAATTCATTGTTCATACTGACACGCTGGCATGTCACTGGAATTGTACTCACTTTATGCATCATTATATAGATAAATTAAATATTTGTTGTTTCCTATTTTATAGAGTGGTCTGCATTCCATCTAACAAATGGTACAAAAAGTATTGGATCTTTACAAGTTATCAATGAAACCCATATTCAATATGATCAAATAACAGCTGATTCTAAAGTTCTCGACACTTTCTGGATAGTTCAGGAGAATCATGGTCCCTTCCAGCGTGAAAAACTTCCTGAAAAAGTAGAGGAGAAAATTGAAGAAACTATCAAGAAAAATGGAGAAAAGCCAGTGTATGCTGATAAAAATACAGAAAATGAAAAAGACAATTTATATGAAACTGATAAACATCAGCGTATTTATATAGGAGTTGCTTTTGGATGTTTATTTGTTGTGATTGTTGTATTTATTGTTGTGATAAGAAGTTGTCGACGTAAACAACGTACTAGTCGAAGATGGGAATCTATGGATTTTAACTACACTAAAAAATTCTACAGTACACCTAAAGCTAATGGTAGTAGTAAAATGATTGATGATGATACAGATTTTGAAATTGATATGACAGACGGAAATTTAGCAACAACTAAATTACTTGATGATTGATAAACTTATCTGTGATGTGTTTTTATAGTCTTTAAAGGGATAGAAATATTTGCTTGGATTGTCAAAAGACCTTTCAGATACCTTACAATTTCTCACAAGGCAACTTCCAATTCCATTTCAATTAGGGGAAGAAGCAACAGTTCTAATACTATTATTATTATCAGCAGCAGAATTGATGCTAATATAAAACATAATATTAGATTGTACAGTGTATGTGAATCTGATATCAGATTATTATTCAGAGAAGTGGTAGTTGAAATAAAGTTGGAAAAGAAAGCAATTTGACATCTCTATCAAATACTGATATCCCTTTAACATTTTATATCAATGGATGAAAAATATCCACCAAATATATGAATGTTTTTGTCTTTCATAAGCTTTCTATGTGTTGTTGGTGATGGATCACATCAATTATGGTCTTTATATTGGTTGTAAATCCAGCTTTTAGTTCACATTAAGTCATATTTTATGTACACATGTACACTATAGACGGTTTTCCAGGCTACATTTCAAAAATATGTTTAAAGAAATACTAGATTGCATGGGCAGGAGGACAAATATATATATATATAATATATATATATATCTGACGTTATTCATTTTATTAATCAAGTTTTCAGTTTGAATTAATGTCAGACACTAGAGCACTAAAATAGGTAGAGCACTAAATTAAGTAACTAAGTAAATGAATCATGTATGTAAATCAGCTATAGAATGTTTTGATTCTTTGAATCACTTGATTGATTGAGGAATTTATACTATTGAGATTGTCTGGGCACAGTGCTATAACTTGTTATTAGACCATATATTGTTATTATTTACCTATAACAGTATTTATTATGATAATAGTGTATCACATAGTCCTGTTTTTCTATACACCTATTTTTTTTTTTATTCCATCTTTAATCATCTAATCATATCATTCAATGATCACAATGGATACTGATATTTTTAATTATTATGTACAGTTATTTGGAATAAATAACAATTAATTATTAGCAAATCAAATGTTTATGTTTTATATCTTTCATAATTTAGGGATCTATTATGTGTACTGCATATAGTGGGCATAAAAGAAAGAAAGAAAATAAATCTACCAGCTGGTCCTTGGCCTAACTTCTTGACATTGATCTTTCTCAGGGATTGACTCAAATAAGTGAAGATGACTTATTCAAGGTCATTGGACTTCCACATGCCGCTCCAGATAAATGGAAATATTTTTCAAATCAAATCCATTTTGCAATAATTCAATAATAATTTTTAAGAAGCTTTTGGACATATGTATAATATCACATCTATATAAAATGAGCTATGCCAATAATCTGAGGTAACTACTAATATTGATACAACTCAAGACCTGTAATATATATTATTCAGGACTAACATCATACAGTTCCAAATCCAGAAAGAAATTACCTCAATATAACACTAGACAAGTACTTCTTGGTTATTATTATGAATGTTTCCAAGTTGTAACTATCTGACACTTGATAAAAAATCTTTCAATGTCTCTCCACTCTTCTTTCTTTTTTCTTGAGATAATATAAACTGAAGACTTTGATTCTGCATTTTCTTCTTTTTCTTCTTACTTTGAGCTTTATCATTTATCTTACATTCTTTTGTTTGTTTGTTGTGAATGATACTTGGAGACCTACAATAAGGAATAACAATCCTTTTCATTCAGAAACAGAGTTTAGTTAAATGCTGGAATACAAATACTGACTATTCCCTTGGTCATTTTCCAATCTATTAGATCCAAGTCCAAAACTAGAACAAGTTTTGCAAAGGATTTGACAATTCATAGGTTTATCTTCAATCGAATGATAAATGTTTAGGATTATTAAAGCAATAGACTGTTACCCCTTTGGCAGTTATGGTCATAAATCAGGACAAAGTTTTACTGGAAAATTAATCATAAATGCGCTCATGCACATTTATTCAATTTTCAGTTTATTGCTTCTATCTACGTTTTCAAGACATTCTAATTTTGATACAAAGACTTTAGTATGTATTTAAGTAAGGCCTGTGTCTTTACGTTTCAACGTTTGGGACTACCGACATGATTGTTTACATTGGAGACCCGTCTATTATATACAATGACATTAATAATTAACAACATCATAAGCTAAAATTACTATGCCTAATGTTTTGGTGATGAGGCAAATTTGTGTGACGATTATATCACCATAAACGCCACACGAATTTGTATTAGCCGGATGGAAAAAATAATAGCTAATGTAAATATTGATAAATATAAACCTTAGATGGTGAAAGTAACATATGCAATACATCATGACATCAATGAATAACAGAATCCAAATAATGCATGTAGTATCTCAGATAGTAGAAATAAGAAATTCTTTATGTCCACTTACATGGAATCCTCCTTGGCTGTGTTCTTCACTTTAAACTTTAACCTTTGATTGATTATTTGTGGTCTTGATATACCAGGAAATTTTATAGATTTACTACATGATAAACATTTTAATACCTGGAAAATAAAAACAAACAATAACATAATTATGTAGCACATTAAGCATCTTTATATATATATATATAACAAAAAACTTGCCTTCAGCTGAATAGAAGATTTATATGCAATATCAGTATGGCTAATACTCGAAAATTAGAAACTGGTTATCTGGTAAGCATATTCAAAGTTCTTTCAAAGATAATGATATAAGATACTAGTCAGTGCTGTTATTCCTTCATTTTGATGTATGATATACTTACTATATTATTCTTACTATTGGTATACAAATCAACAAGATGTTTTTGTTTCTTTGATAATTTATTCTTTTCTACTTTTGATTTCTTTATCAATTTTTTCAACGAAGCTGTTAGTTTCATCTTTGGTTTTAAACGTATCTGACAGTTATTCATACTCAAATCACTGTAACAATTGGGGCATTCTTGTGTTTCCAAATTTTGGAAATCTAAAAATTACAACACAAGTTATCATTAGATTATCAACAAAACAGCGTTACCATTACAATTCAAACTTTAAGTGCAAAAAAGCAATTTAAAAAACATCCATAGAATGAAAATAGCACATAATATACATTATAGAAGGGAGTTCAGCTCTTTCACAGTCTCCATTGAATAATTTGATCAACTCTCCTATTGATACTTTTTTTCCACTTCGGTTATTTTCAAAAGTTTACAGGGGTATTCCGCTTTTTTGTAAAAAGTTTTCATTATCAAAAATGTTGTAAATTACTCCTGAAAATATTTCTAAAGTATGGTATTTATATCTTTTGATCATCTTTATCAAACTGAAGTTGTTTTAGAAGGTTAATTAAAACGGAGAGTACTATTGCTGATTAAGCAGTTTGACCTAGTTTTGGTGTTTGGCTTTATAATAGCTCGATATTGTTAGTTGAAACCTTTAAAATACTTAGGAGACATATTTCTCTACAAGTAGGCATTGATTTCACTCAAATACGTTCAGCAGTTTTCTAACAGCTTCCAAAAAGCATCCTTTTAGTTAAAATTTCTGATATGTTAAAGGTCAAATTACTCTAGATTTTGGTGAATAGTTTTCACAAATTTGAGTAAAAAAATTTTTTAGACCTACAAAAAAAGCGGAATGTCCCTTACACATAAAGGTATACTTGTAATCAGTATTACTTTAACTTTTAATAGTACTCACTGATTTCACCCCCTAATACCTATCATTTAATAGTACTCACTGATCAACTTATCAGTAGGCTCTAGTACCTTAACTTTTGATGGTAGGCTACCCACTGATCATCTAATCAGTATATTACCTTATAATACTCACCTATAACATCATCACTTTTACTATCAGAGACGTTCCATCTGTAAACATAATTAATACAATATACAGATATGAATTTTACCACCTGGCTCACTTTTCAAAAAGGTAATCTTGAAGCTTGAAACATTAACAATGCCATAAAAAAGGTGGTCAATAACATCTGCCTCTATTCCAGCCGCTGATAGCTAACCTATTTTGACAGTAGTAGCCTGGATTAGGGTAGGATAAACAGAGAACCAGCCCCCTCTCTGGTGCAGAAATTACCCATAAAACAGGGACAAGTTTTCCTGACCCTACTCCAGCCCACAACATTCACAATTGCTGTCAATTGCTGCCTCCTGGGGTTTCGGACTACCAGAACGGTTGGTGATTTGCAAATTACACACATCCGTAATATACGTGTAATTTTGGTTCAAATCAGAGTTAAAATGTACACATAAAGACTACACCTCCACTTTCTGTAAATCTCTGGATATAATCTTTTGACTGCAGAATTGTAAGTATGTTTAGCATGCCCTGAATTTGCCATATTTTAAAATATCGTATTTGAGAAAAAAAAAAGATTAAAGGGAGACAACTAATTAGTAAAATCATTCGGCAATTAGAGTAAAAAAATGTACATTATGACACTTTTGTCTATTATCTATGAAATAAGTTTCGGTGCTTTTCGGTAAGTTTCTGTTGTTTCATTAAACTGTTTGTATCGTCCACTATATATATATATCTCTTTTTTGGTGATAATGAAAATAAAGCCGAAGAAAACAGATTGAGCACGCATGCGCTTTGAATCACATGCCGGGAAATTTGAATACAAAGATTTTGGAACATATTTTGAGTTTATTTGCGGCGTTACTTTTGATAATTCTAACATCCAGTGTTACTATCAGCAAACGGCATTATATGGTATTTTGTTTAATTCTCTTGCATCAGCTTATTCAGGCCAAAGATTTTGGTCACTGACTTTGATGAGCTTTAATTCATCATATAATTATCCATTTTCATGATTTTCTCAAGACTGAGTTCTTATCTGAGGTTTGCTTATTCTTGGCATTGTTTATCACAGATCAAGGACAGGGTTTAAGTATGTTTAGTAACTGATATTTAAGTGAAACTTTACTGTGAAAGGTTATGTTACTACTTACAATATAACCAGTGTACATAATTTATTTTATTAAAATTTGGCCTACTGATATGATTGATGTTATTTATGCCTATGATTAGACACAATTAATCTCTAGACTAGGTCTACTCTTTACTTAACCTCTGAAACTTGATGAACCGTAGATCTATAATAATGAAATTTGAAATTACATGTATATTTTTTCAGCCAGACATACAAAGATATATTTGCTTGGTAGATCAAGATGTCTGCTCTCCAAATACACAATCAAGATAAAGAGAATGCTGGGGCCCGACCAAAAGGAAATAGATTACCTCTTGGTAGTGGTTCTAATTTCAATAGTGAGTAAATAATCAGACTATGATATTATTTGATACTGGTAAACTTGTAAATATTATTTTGCAGTATCAAGAATATTTCTGACAGTTGGAGATTTAAATGCAAAATTTTCATTAACAAAACATCATAAGGCCTTACAAGTTAAATAGTCTGTTTTATAGGCCTTTTCTCAAAATTTGGGGCGAGAGAGTGAATTTATTATTTATAAGTGCTTTTTTAGACAAATCGGAGCGATCTAATGCATTTATTATTTATTACCCTACCACAAATTTAATGTACATTTAATATTAAGGCAACAATCAGGCATATTTGGGACTATTTATTTTGAATGTTGTTGATAATTATAAATGTTGCAAATTTTTCAGGAATCAAGTCATTTCAAGGATCTAATACACCGGCATTTGTAACACCACGTAAAGCCTTGGGCAATGCCCAGAACATTTTAAATCAAACCCCACATAATTTGAAGCCTGGTGGATTAGCTTTAAAACCTGTCAGCAATATTAAACCTTCTGTTAATCTTCACAAACAATCTGTGAAATCAAAACGACATGTTTCTTTTAAAAATAATATTCAAGATGTAAGTAATCCATATTTGATTATGTAACATATAAGAAACATCATAGCTTTGCAGTTCAAAAAGAAAAAAAAAATTTTTTTTTATGTGATTTATGGCATATATTTACCTCTGTATATTTGCAATGTACATGTATTTTTGCCAGGAGTAATCTAACTGAAAAGTAACATAATTATATATGATAAAACCTGGTACTAATTTCCGTGCAAAACGGAAACAAATTTAATCTATTGAAAAGTGTGAAAGCAAAGGGTTCCATTATTATTAAGTTCTATCTTCCATGAAGAATATCTGATGTGCGATTCAGAGATTATTCTAAAGTTTCACTATCAGTTTGATATTTTGTGAGTTTTTATTTTTATGTAGAAAGAAAATGTTAACCATAAGAAGCCAATGAAAGTCAAGGCACCTGTTGTAATGCAAATAGATAATAACCAGAGAGTTTTAGATATAGATGAAGTAGATCATATGTCTATCCCTCCAGAAATTCAAGGTATCATTTTCAGCCTCATTACATGCATGTGAATGTATAATGTCAGCACTCATGTCCATCAACATTTTCTTGAAATTTCTCAAGAATAGACAGTTTAAAACTTGTATACATTAGCCTAAATGAAAGTCAAGTACGAATATTTGCATTCTTGACCATGTTTTAGATAATCGAGTTCCTCCACCAGAAGAAAAAATTTCCAATTATCTGGAGAAAATAATTAAGTGGCGTCCTCCATGTTTATTTGGTATTCCACCTCTCAGTGATGATGATGACCCAGTAGGACCAGTTTATAGAGAAGATGTATTTGATAATTTAGATGATCTTACTAAACTAGACACAGATGGTAAGCTTCTACTTTTTCCTAAATTTGGTGTTTTGATGTGCTTGTTGTGTGCATTGTCAATAATGTACTTTTGAACAATTTAACCCATCCCCTTGTGATGCAAACTTGATGGAAAATATTAAAAGTGGTTGGGATATTAAAGTGCTGGCTTGTATTTTACAGGCTGTGTATGTGAATGATTCTACACTTCATAAAAGAGTAGGAACAGTTTTCCTCAAAACACTGTGTTGTGTTGCCATTTGTGAGTGCAATCAGGTGCAGTAACAAATTTCAATCAGTTCCTTTATTTTCATGTTTCAGGTTTAGGTCATTTAGATGATAAGTTGTTTGATGATATACCAGATATACTAGAAGTTGATATCCCTTACATTGACGAGACATTACCTACCCTTGATTTACCCTCACCTGGTTTAGACGATTCTATCAATAACATCAGCATCCACCTGGGAGTTTTACAACTGAATGACAGTGTTTTAAATTAGTTCTCATTACCATTTCTGAGTGGTTATTTAGTTTTTCAACCTATATGTTATAACTCATCAATTCATTTTCAAGTTGTGAATGTGATCTATACAGTTGTGTGTTTTAATTTGTTTTCATAGTGTATGCTTTCAACTTTTTTCTTCTACTACTATTCATTTACCTTTACTCTTTTCAAAGTTTTATTTCTGAAATTCATTTGCTATGTATACCCTTATGATTGATTGCTATAGCTCAGCAGTCAGCAATATAATATTTATATACAGTGTATTGATTTGTGGTGATATTAATTTCTTTCCTATCAATAATATAAATATTGCATGAGGCTAGAGATATTTTAAAGATCTATATAATGCTTTATTGATATGTACTAGTCACACTGTAATATCAGTACATACAAATATATATATAGAGAGTATTGCATCATATATTGTCTAATGACTACAAAATATAAGTGATTGCAAGCATTCTTTTGTTCTATATTTTATTGCATTGCCAAGAAGGGGAAGTTTGTTTAGTATATTTTTTATGTTATAACGCCTAAAGAGTATTGTTTTGCCTTCTGACTAGAATAGAAACATTTTGCTTGCCATGCAGTATGAATTCATTTAAGATTTATGGCTGAAAAATGGCTTTTATTCTGATTTTAAATAAAATATTTTAATCACTCTCTTGTTTTTTTAAATCTAATAGTATATTACAATGGCTTGATAGAAATTCAAACCCTAGTATAATGGGCTGGAATATAGATATGTTGTAGAAATGTTCACAGCCTATGATAGTAAATAATCAGTAGATCAACATGGTTATCTTGTATTTTGGTAGCGGTATTTCCTATCGATGTGGATCATCTGTAGTTACAGATAAAGATTTCCTATAACAGGAATTTTGGTTGAGGAGACGGCGCTTTGTCCCCCTTTGTAAGCTCACATAAAGTACAATAATCATAACACTGCAATACCAGTTATCTCCAGCTTTCTATGCCCAATTCTCATCTTATTTCAACTTGCATACCTTGTTGATTTATAATTAAGCTTAATAATACTAACTAAAACAATTTAATAGGACATGAATAACAGATATGAGTTATTTATCATCAATAACAGGATATTCAACAATTAACAACGGTAACAAAAATCAAAATCCACAACCTAAATATAATATACATCAATTATTTAAGAGATTTAGATATAAAATCACTATTTGAATTCATTATTTAATCATATCAATTTATAGCTGACTAAAAGATTGATAAAGCCAGATGCTATAGAAATATTGAAAACTTAAAAAATTACTTATAAATGCCATAGTTAAAATCCATGGCTGTAAGGCAATCCTAAGGTTTCTTAAAATCAGATGCAGATATAGTAGCATGTTTATTGGTGTAAATATAATCTATTAGACATAAAAATAAATTTGAACATTGAAAATCAGAGTTCTGTAATTTGACTGTAATGTAGGATCCAGATATGAAAATCTTGTTTTAACAATATAACAATCTTTCATTAAAAAAAAATGAAGAAGAATTGTAAGAAATCTAGGGGGAATAACAAAATCCCTGAAAAATACTGCATAGGGTTAGTAAGATTATATAAAATATTTAAGTATAAGGTTAAAGTCTAATAATCTAATTTAATCTAATTAAAACTAAAAGACATAAATATAAAGTTCTATATAAGTTTAAGTACATCAGATTTATGTATTATATTCTAAAGGCAAACTACATCAGAAGTCTTTTAAAATGTACAATATTTCTTTCCCTGCTCTTCTCGCTAATGGGTCCTGGGTTCAAAACATTTTTATCAGAATTTTACATGTATTTCATTCTGCAAGAAATTCCATAGCATTGGATCAGAATATAAATTCTCAATCAAAATATTGACTATAGTAATACTAGTATACGTGGCTCTTGAGAGACTTCGAGTAAAATTTTGTGGTTGTTGCTGCTAATAAAATAGTGATGATGAGAAATAAACATGCATAAGACTAATCTATCCTACTTCCTATGTAAATAAAATGCACACACATAGTAACAATTATCTAAAAAATACTTCAGACCTCACACTTTATTATTTACAATATCAGATATAAAACATCTCACAAATATATAAATATTATGTCAATATTATTAACAATTAAATACTAAATATAAAATCTATGTTAACATGCAATTACAATTATCACCATGATTAAACAATAACATCAGTTCAATCTTCCATAGATCAAGTCTGTGAGAATGACTTTCCTCTAGTAGATCTGACATAATCCCTCTTTAACTCTTGTTAGAACTTTGACCAATGACATCATTTATTGTGAAATTCACACTTTGGAGTAAATCTAATCAATCATTGGATTTAGTCTAACTTAGTGCACTGAAAAAAGACAAGTTGCAATGGCTGCCAGTTATCATCCTGTGTTTAAGTTATGCTAAATAACAATAGATTTGTCGATTTTGTGGCCGGAATCTGCAGCCATCAAGTTGATCACAGTTGACATTCAATGTCTTGATATGAGCATCTGGGGTGAGCATGTCACAACATATTGAGAGTGTCATAGCACCTTCTCTATACATATGTATATGTCTAAAAACCTATCCAACCTTACCATAAAAGACACAAAATCATGAAAAAACCTTTTTAGTACTACCAAATTTCACTCCCAGACACCATTGAGCAAGAACACCTTTCATTCTTTGAAGCCATAAATATAGAAGGGGATAGTCATCAAAATATTACCAAAACCTTACTTTGGAATATTAACTTGGAAAGAATGTGTTTTAATCTCTTCAATCAGGCGGCGGCAAAGCGATGTTGTGTTTTGTTAACATGACCTCATTTCTATTCTACCAAACTCATTGGTCAGATTTAAATGCCACCAATCTCATTTCCACGCCCCCAAAACAAAGTGTAGTGGGCTTAGTTTAATACGGGTTAATAAGACCATGTCAAAACCCATATTCGTGATACAATGATAATTAACCAATCATAAATGTCCATGTATGAACAGTCTGGATAAACAAATAAATAAGAATTTTTCTTAATCGGTCACTCATTGAAAATCTGCTGGTTATTCTCCTCCAATTTAGCTAATTATGAATTAAATATGGATATGTGAGACAAACAGGTATTTTTCCAAGTCAATAGAACACCTCTACTTTCTATTCATATAAGTATAGCTATTTCATTTTCATAAACAAAAGCAAGGGAACCCATCTTTAACTACAAACTTAAAATCTTTAAATTCCCCATGAACAGGCGTTAAGTGGGGTAGCAAGAGAGAGGACATTACTTTATTTCGAAAAACAAATTTTGAATGTTTTTACCAGCAAACAATACATGTAGGTCAACACTGTAATATTCTATAAACTTTCTATTTAACATTATTTTATTATACCCCTACATATTGCACGAATAACATTTAATAACATCCTATTTTATTGTCTTTTTCGCATGATGTACTCCTGATGAAAAGAAACTGTATACTTGCTCTTAGTTAAGCCTTGAATATGATCTTGTTACAAGTACACTTAAATCTCAAACAAATAACTCTGATGTTCATGCTATCACACACAAGGGCTCCTTGCTATTCTAACAGAGTTGCAATCCTGCAATTGTAACACAATGCGAGCACATCCTCAGCAATAAAACCTGCTAAAAACTGACATGCTAGAGGAATAAATGTAAGCATGAATATATGACTTTTTAATTAATAACTAACAAGAGATATACTAGGCTTGTGATATCATACAAAAACTTTGTGCAAGCTTAAAAATATAAAAAATATGGTGCTGATTGTTGAGCATAAAATACCAGCAAAATTTTTCTCTTTTTTTTTTTTAGAAGAGACCAGAATGAAAGACTAAAATCAATGTCAATTATAGGCTATTATGCAATCATTATTGATCAAATATAATTCTGCAATTAGAAACATTATAAAAGCTAAAAGGACGGAAAGCTGGAAATTCTAAAAATACCTGCACCATTTGATTAAATACCTCAATTAAACTGTAGGCCTACTGTATTGAATCATTGATTCATATTACATTAACTATCTAATATTGTGTAGATTAACAGAGGCAGTTAAAAGGATATGGCATAAATACTTGGTTAAAAATACAATATTTAATTTGTTGTCTTGGAGACAATTTTTCTATTGGCATAATTATATTATCAACAAAATAAGAATTTTTACTGTAAAGCAAGAATTCTAATTAAATGTGATTTATCATATAGCCAAATATAAATGTAAATCATTACAAGGCATTGCCTAATATATTGCACATGAAATATTATTCTCTCAGTATGTAAACATAAGTTATTGCCTTCATAGAACATTCATATGCACAATACGGCACAAAAAATTAGGATGTAAAACTCCATTTCAATTCATCTACGAATAAATGCAATACCTATATTATGAATTAAAACTGAGGCAGAATATTCTGTTCTCATTCATAACAATCCTTGAATGGCTCAGATCTGTTCAGGTTTTTCAGAAAAACCTTTTGAAGATGGCAAGATATGAAAGTTGGATCATGTTTGATTAAAATCTAAATAAAAAATATGAACCAAAAAAATGCAGATATTATAAGACAAACAAAAAACAGGAAAAACTCAAAATCATATACAATAGAAATTTAACCATTCACTGATAATGTAACACAAATTAAAACCTAAATGATTCACATTTCTCTAAAAACTAAGAAAACCTGTACTCCATTACCATTTTGAGTCTACTTTAATTCCATTTTAGTCACAACTACTCAATGTCTTGAAAGGATAATCCCATAACTTTGATGATATACCAAATCCTAAAATACAGGCAAATACTTTATCTAACAACACAGACTGGTGCTTTAATTATGAAATATAATGCTTTAATGAACTCCATCAAAATCAATATTTCCAGAATATTTAAATCTGAATCTACCAATGGCAAACAAATCAGTAGCTGAAATATTTTTTTACTTGTCACATTGTCTGAATGAATTGAAGCTCAGTACCTTGAGGCCACCATTAAACCATCATTATCTTTATAATATGTAGCCTGATATATCTAGTTTTTCATAACTATTTATTAAAGTATGTATAATGAGAAAAAGCTCTGTTGAAGGCAATGGAAAGATATTTTGATAGCATTGATATTGAACAATAAACCTTTGAATACAGATACGTTGATGTATTAAATTATCTACTTACCTGTAGAATGGTCATTAAAATGATGTTTCATATGATAAGTTTTTAATGATTTATAGTAGGTTAAAGAAGGTGTACCATGATGTAGATAATAATGTGTTAAATCATAAAACATATAACCAATAATAGTACCAGCAAACAGTGCTAATGCTGTCCCAGTTGGTAAGAGAAGGCAATATATCAACAAGATCTGTGAAGCCAAGAACGATGCAGGTAATTGTGGGAAAACCAGCTTGCTTTTGTCCATAGGTGCCTACAAATGACCAAAAAGCTAGAAGTGTACAATTTCAAACTTTAAAAGGATACTGTACCATATTTTTTAGCAATCGTACCTTAGTCTAAGAAACGGGAATTGTTAATAGTTAATCATTAATAGTGTTCACAGATTACGTTGAATTTGAGCCATGTGTGTCCAGAATTATCTGTGTTTGAAAGTTACAAGACGAGTCAGCTTTAAATGAGACTATGTCATAATATATATAAGATATCTATAGAGATAGGAAAAGAAATATCAAGTTTCAGATATTTTCGAAGGGGTTATGTGATTTTCTTACTACATTTCTAGTACTTCTCAGGGAATATTTACATATATTCAACACTCAAATCATCCCCCAAAATAGTGCACTTGTCCCTTTAACAATATAAGAGTGAAATATGTAGTGATAAATTTTATCCTGAGTTATATTGAAATGGTACAATTAACAGATTGTTTGATTAAGCTAGTTTAAGACACATTCTATTCAACCGTAGTTGTTTACCTACATACAATTTAAATACAATGCTACTTATTGGGCTGTTTTATGGGCACTTTCTTATGTGTTTTATAACTTCTTATTTTTCAACTATTAATAAATATGTGGAGTAAGAAATATCTAAATATATTATAAAAATTCAATATCTACAACAATTGGCTCATTTGTATTAATCAACTTATTAGATAGTGAAATACTCACATTCTTAAAGCTTTAGTCATGTGTAATTATTATAATCATAATGTCAGTGAATTGTTTAGAAATTTCCAAGCCAAATCATGCCTCTATTTATTAATTAATTTTCTATGTACATAAGTAATTGGAAAACTGGGACTGTTTTTTTTTTCATATTGAGAAAGAAATTAATTGTACTTGATGTACTTGACACAAGAGTGACTCTGTTAACTGGTCTTGTATGATAAATAATTCTGTTATGATGTAGTTTTGAAGACCTACTCAATCCCCTGAAGAATCCATGTTTCAACAAGGTTTAACAATTTTTATTATTCGACTAAGTACCTGCGGCAGCAAATTAACAAAGATTATCAAACAATAAACCACAAATACAGTACATACCTTGTGGTGTTGACCATGAAAGAGAAAATGTAAACGTATCAACCAGGGAGACCAGGATGGTGGTTTAACATGAAAAACCCATCTATGTATAACATATTCTACTAATGACCATAGTAATATTCCCATAGTTATTATTATAGGTAAGGCACTACCATTTATCTCAATGCCTACAAGATAATATACAGAACATTCAATAGAGACAGAATGAAACTGCTGTTCATATCACTAAAACCTTTGTTGAAACTGTATAACATGTTTAACATGTTATTTTTATATCAATGTTTTCAGTTATTGAGTTACTTAAGCTCTTACTTTCACTCCCTCATTAATTTATTTTGCAAAGATTTGTACTAAAATCAAGTACAAGATATCACAATCCAATCTACATGCTTTTTTTGATAATGTATAAACCTTGTATTATTATACAACTGGTGATTAAAAGAGAAGCTTATTCATTTTCGAACAGCGGAAACATAGGTTTAACATGGTATTATTGTAACATGGTATTATTGGTATTCTTGGAATTCAACAGTACCATAAATTAACAATGCCAGCCAGGTCTGCTATATTAACTCACCTTTAAAATCAAACAGGCCAACAATAAAGATATATTCTGGTTGCTGAGTTAAATAACTGTGAGAAAAATAGATCAAGAGTATAGATATAGGTATCCAGTAAATTGGTACCATCCACCATGGTGAACTGTTAAAAAACTCAAATAAATCATAACTAAACAATCGTAATCTCTTCTCTACTGGATGGTGAACCCATTCATGGTAATTTTCACCCAGAAATCCAACTTGATGAAATAATGGTTTATTCCAGTCTACCAGATCTTCCTGAAATAATCCAAAAGATAAACTCGCAGTTACACCTTACATTTCATCTTAATATTCAATCTTCACTAAAAGACAAAGGGAACTTCACTTCTGAAAATATTAAACAAGTGGTTATCAAGCATGATACCCGCTGACCCAAAATGAAATTCAGTATATGAAAGGGTGAAACTCAATATTAAATTTGCCCATCATCCATAAACAAAATCAAACTTGTCTAAGGTGTTGTGGACATAAACCTACATACCAATTTGATTAAATTCTGGCAAAAACTGTTGCCTCTATCAGGTTCACAAGTAAATTGTGGATGGACTATCGGACGGATGGACAGAGGTGATGGCATTACATACTCATTAGGATGTGACAGCTATATTTACATGTTCTGCGATCAAAAAACCTCATTTAACAAGAATTTCTTTAAGAAACACTCTTTAATCAAAGTAAAGCCCAAGCCCCAAAATCCTTAACCCTTTCCAGGCCCCACCCAGCTACATTACTGACGTGTAAAATCCAGGTCAATGCATCTAAAAAGGCAAGTCCCATTATTGCTTTGAGGGTTCATTTTATCAATCATTCATCTCAAACATTCTTGCATCAATCACCCATGATATCTCATCAATACATAATTTGTCTCGAACAACATTCCTGGTTACACCTAAATAATACTTTTCGTACCTGTATATAAACTCATTCAGTTATAACGAGAAAGTAAAATCTACCTCCAGAGGTGGCAGTGCAAAACCAAGCGAGGAGTTATCCAGATAAGAATATCACGTGGGGTATCATATGAATAAACACTTCAACATTGCATCTACTGGGACGCTATAATGGAAATACTTGAAAGTCACAAGAAAAGGATTAATAAATCAATTAATTAATTAAGTCCCAAATTGTTTGAACCAACAATTGCTAATAGTAAACTAGCAGAATGCTTTTTTGATGTGCAACTCCGAAACTCTGGAATTCACTCTCTTTTCACTAAATCAAGTTCAACTTATGATATATGTAAAAAGAACTTGAAAACTGAACTGTCCAGCTTTCTAAACACAATATTGTGTAATGTTGGGTTTATTGTGTACATTGAGGTTTATTTTTATTGACTAGATTGATTCTATGTCATTTTTCACCACTGTCTGTTATTATGTGTTCAATGTATTTTAAATTATAATTATATGACTGTATCAGCACCACTGAGCCGCTAGCAAGACTGTTGCTGCTTTATAAATGCAATAAATTATTATATAATTAGTAAATAATATGCCATTCAAAGATTGTTCTAAGAATAGTTATCTTTTACTTTAATGTCAGTCTTTATCCTATGTCTCTTATCTCGCACTGTGTTTTGGGTTGTTTTTCTTTTCATGGAGATTTTTTTTTACATCATGTGACATTCAACAGAACGTCATTGTGCAAGATTCTGGCTGATTTGAATTGAATGTCCCTGAATCGCATGAGCTAGCTCAATGTGTATTGAAACTCAGCCACCATATTGCGTCTGATCCAGGGTAAGGTATTATTGGGGATTTCAATGAAAAATAAACCAACCAGTCAGAAGTTAGAAGGTGATGTCAACCTTAGTAGCGGGTATCAACATTGTAAAAAAAGTAAATATATGTCTGCCTTATACGCCTTCAGCTGACTTGGCAGAACTAATTATTCTAGGAACTTCAATTAATTATGTCTGATTTTCCAAATTTAAACAATATTACAATTAGGAGATCAAATAGAAACCCCTTATTTTTCAAGATGCAACAAAAATCGTGTTCATCTCTGATACACAAGTTTCGTTAAGGTTCAATGCTTTAGAAACAATCTATTTTGCACACTAAAGTCTTTAAATGTTGCATTTAATAGAATAACTTATATAACACAAACGAGACAAATGCATGTAAATAATTTTTGCCTAACAAAATGAAATTAGCCTTAGGTACTAAATTGAATTAAACTAATGTCTAGAAATATGAGATATAGTCATCAAATGCTCTCCCCGTAATATTTCTTCGGTTGCATAAGGTTAATAAATTCCCACCTCTTAATATTTTGCATTATTGCACCAGTCAGGAGGATTTCATTAGTCAACCTGCTACATTTTGAGTTCCCAATCATGTCTACCCAATAATATTGATAAAAAGTATATAATTGAATACATTATCAAATAAACAACATGTGTCACTAATTATACAAATGATAGGTTATTAAGACTACAAAACATAGTATATCATACCACCATTCTCAGTATAAACAATTATAAACACTGCTATAGCTAACATTGTCATACATAATAACTTTATTTACTGTTTTATAAACAGCTTAGTTTATGCCTCATAGCTATAATAAACAACCAAACTTACCTTTTCTTCAAGATTCGTATGAAAATGACCATTTTTGTTAACATCAGTGGCATCACCTACATAGTATTTCTTCAGTATATCATAAGCTGCACGGCTGTGTTTATGTCCAGAGATTCCAGTCTCATTTTTCATCAGCAGAGTTACGTCTTGTTCAGAGTGTTTCTGTAAAATTTCCTGTCCTCCAGGATGGTTGGACGAAAAGTTCGTAATATCGTACAATTTACCATTATGAATGACACGGATTTTGTTATCACTTGATTTTCTAAAATTCAAGGTGTTTATCGGCATCTTGGCTGCATAACTTCGACCCACTTCCTCACCTTGTTACACTCGACCTGTATAATACCGTTATATATATACTCACTACACACAACACGGCAAATATAGCCTCATTCATAACACTTCGTTTTTATCACTGCCGTGAACGTGACGAGAAGCACATAGCATTGTTCATTCAGATCGATTATTCAGTGATCAATTCGTCTCTACCCTATCGCCAACATGTTTATATTTGAACCGTCGTAATTGCAAATAGATATTACCAAATTTTAAGAGACACCTGATAAAAGTGATAATGTAGGCTAGGGGAGACTGGGGTTTATTGGTCCATTCTATTCAAAATGATTGGGAATAAAACTGAGCTACTGACAGGATCTCCAAGACTAATTCTCACATATTTACAGCATATCCTTGTCCATGGTAGACATGCTTTGCAAATAGACTAAGATTTTTTTTCTCAGTTTTCTGTAATGATTTGTTTAGATTAATGAGGCTTAATTATGTTAATCTTACAGAATTCTTAATCTGACGATTTCATATATCACAATAGGCTTGTTTCTTTACAGAATTTTCACCAAATGAAATTATATCATTTAATCAATGATCATTAATAAATAACTTTACAATCTTTTTGTCATAAATTATTAGCCATACTTTGTGACCTGGCCCGGTGCTTTTGTGAGATTATGTTCTTGTCACCATCTGTCAAGGAATAGCATTTTGTTGACCAATTAATTACAGAGAAGTCGGGTGAGTACTGAGTGAGATCCTGTTGTAATCTTTTAAATTTATTACAATGCATTGTCGGTAAATCCAAGATCTCTTCAAATATACACATCTTTTTGGTTGAAGGGGCAGACCCGTAGTCCTTTTGGGAGGTCAAACGTCCAATCAAGGGGGACAGTTTAGGTATCCCCCCAGTATGGTGCTTTGTATTGCTATTTTTATTGATGCCGGAGACGCCCATTGGAAGCCTGGAAACACGATTTTCTGAAGTCTGGGGACCCCCTCCAAAAATTCTAGAATTTGACTCCCTGAAACGCGATTTCCTGATATTTCCTGACATTTCCTGGCGAATTTAAGGTTTATTTGTATATTGACCGTGGGACCACCACAAGAAAATTTTGTGAATCTGACAGCCGGAAACGCGATTCCCACTGGACCACTGACATTGAAAGGCAGAAACAAATAAACTCGACCAAGGACCGCTGACATTGTCTACAAAGGCAGTAACAAATAAACTCGACCAAGCGGTGGGTTCGTTTTGCCGCATTGCCCAACTTGCCGCATCGTACTCAACTACACAAAAACGACATGTAAAACGAAACTAAAGGGTTCTGATAAAATCCGGAATGGCAATTTTTTACATGAAACGAAATATTTTAATCTGTTGTCCCGTTGTCTTTTTTTTATGTATAATTTGGACCTGTTAGGGAAATCGAAACTATAGTTTTGTGGTAAAATCTGAAATAAAATAAATACCAAGTACAAACGATCAGAACCGTAATACAAAATACAAGACAAGTGCAATAAATAAATTTGATAATAACTTGCAAGAGTTGTGTTGCTCTACTGCGTGCCAATAACGTCACCTTCGTGACAAGGACAGCAGACATTGTCTACAAAGTCAGAAACAAATAATCTTGAACAAGGACAGCAGACATTGTCTACAAAGTCAGAAACAAATAATCTTGAACAAGGACAGCAGACATTGTCTACAAAGTCAGAAACAAATAAACTCGAAACTAAAAAAAAACTGATACTTATGAACTCTTTTATATGCATCTACTTCAGTTCACCCAAAACATACATTTTCTGGTATGATCATGTCATAATATTTACGATTTCATAGAACTTGCACAAGATCAATCAATTTCAAACCGGCTTTCTTTCACGACTGTTTTCTAAAAACTTAACTAGTGTGGGTAGGCACTCCTAACGACATTTACGAAAAATCCAGTGGCAGAGCACAAAGGAAGGTTTTGCAGTAGATACAATGTTTTATCGTTTTCAGATAATCCTTGTGAACATAGTTCCAGCGGGTCACCCATGGAAAAAAAATTCAAAATGGCCACCATCCTCGATTTTCGAATACTATTTCTATCATAACTTTGCTTCTAGGGCAACAATGGTAGGATTTTTTTTTACGAATGGTAGACGGCAATGTTGTTGGAATGTGGTAGAAAAAAATGTTAATGGTCTGGTAGTAAGTGATGTTGATGGACTGGCTATGGCAAATGACGATGGACTGGTAGTAGTATTATGTTGTGTTTTGAGCTGGTAGTGGGAGATAATATGTGGTATTATGGGATATTGCAAGACTAGTATCGGTGGATGTTGTTGGGGTGTTTTAGTGGGTGATGTAATGGGCTGGTAGTAGATCACAGTAGGTGATGCTTTTGGGCTGGTGGTAGAAGATGTTGTTTAACATGTAGCAGGAAATGTTGCAGGACAAGTATTAGGGGAATTTGTTAGAGATGCTGTTGTACTGGTAGTAGGCGAGTTTGATAGGTGATGATATTGAACTAGTATTAGGGAAGGTTATTGGATTGGTAGTAGTGAAGATGGAGATGTTGTCGGACTGGTAGTGGTGAATTTTGAAGGAGTGTTTTTAGAAGATGTAGTAAGACTGGTGTTATAAGATTTTGAAGGACTGGTATTAGGAGATGTTGAAGGACTGGTAGTATGGGTTGTTGTAGGACTGGTAGTAGTCGATATTGTTGGTCAAGTGATGTTGTTGGTCTATCAGTTAGCTTTTATTTTTAATATAGCCACTTCAGTTCGTCACAAAATGCCAACTCTGGAGAAGGTAGACATTTGATTGGCTTAAGCAGACGTCATCGAAGTAGGTCAAAAGGTGGATGCATGTTCAGGAGAGAGCTGACGTTAGACCCTATAACTGACTATATTCAAAATAAAAGCTAATAACAAAAACGGAACTTTTGGGGTTTTTGGACTGGTATTAAAGAGGTCGTTGCAATGGGAGAAGGTCTTGTTGAACCGACAGAAGGGAATATTGTTGGACTGTTGTTGGACTGTTTGTTATAATTACTTGTAGACCTACACCACTAATGACAAACCTGAAAAACACCAGAATTTGTGAAAACATTATTTTGATAAAAGTGTATTATAATACAATGTGTTATAAGGGACTTCGGACGATTCTTACTGAGTATTCAATATTTTATTTTCAATTTAATTTTCACGATAAGAACCTGCCCAGATGTTGAAAATCGTCATAAATGAATCCCTTAACCTGAAAACATATATATTGTAACCCTAGACGCAAAGTTATGACAGAAATAGTATTTGGAATATTGAGGATGGTGACCCTTTTAAAATTTGGTACATAAAAAATTTCCTGAAGGGTACCAAAATGGCACGCACTGGAAATGTGTTGAGAAAAACTTTCTGAAGCACTGCATTCAATTCCATGTCATGCATTGGTTCTAAATTTTGTTATACCTGGATGATTCAAGTTGTTGTAAAATCAGGGATTGTATTGTAACGGATTCAGTTTACTGATCTGAAAACGAAAATTCTTTAAGAGGACAATGAGGTTTATAAAGAATCAGAAAGTTTCGGAGTAAACGGTTCTGTTAGATTAATGTATCTGAAAAAGATATGCTAATTATTAATTATTAATGAGAATAAATTAATAATAAAACTACAAGGTTGAGAAAAAAAACTTTATGCATGATTTAATCACGAGCGAATTTTGAATTCATATTATATGCGGGACTTTAATATATCAAGTTTACGTTTGATATATTATGAAGATGATGATTGGTGACCTATTATTGATGTAGTAGGTAGAGTAACAGTTGAACTATCACTTATATCACTTTTTGTCACTATTTTATTTTCAATGAACTTCGATATACTATTAGTCGATCTATGGCTATTATATGAATTATTACTAATCTTTTTGTCCCTGTATCTGAGCGTGGTAACAGCCAATCTTTTCTTGTTCTTTCTATGGAAAGGTATTTGTGCTTTTTCACTATTTATACCGACCATTTCTTTTGTTCGAATCCTTTTACGACCACCATTATGATTTTGCGATTTGCGTTTCAATTGTGAAATGAGACTTCTATCTGTTTCTGTCGCTGTTATATTATTTTTCACTGGTGTTAAAGGCACTCGAGATTTATTCACAGTCAAAACATTTTTGGCATATTTCACAGCAGTATCATTAACATTTGGTCTTGGTTTTAAGTCTGATTGCATAGCACTGGATTTCACTCGAAAGGATGTATGTCCATGCGGTTTCAGCCTTGTTGGTGCATGCAAATCCTTTCTGACATCTTTGAGAATTCTATCTTTCCTTTGTACATTGTTGGTGTGAGAATTAACTTTAGCCTTCCTTACTTTCCCAGTTATCCTGTTTTCGTGTAAGTCACTGTTGAGATTCCGGACAATGTTTGTTTCGTTCTGTTTTACTAGAATATTGTTTTTGTCTATATTTTTTATCTCCTGTGGAACCGCCAATTTCACAATCTGATCCTTTATGGGCATTTTCACTGAATTTATGGAGTTCTGGATATTTGTATAGTTTTCTAAGTCTCTTTTGTTTCGGAATTCGGCATCATTCGTACTCTCCGCCATTTTATTTTTACTGTTATACGAGCTCAAAATTCCAACAGCACTGAGCAAAATAAATAAACACACAGCGAAAAGTATTAAATTAAAAAAAGATTTCATTCCATGTATCTCCATAGTTAAAAATATCCGATAGTTTACGATCTTCTTTCTTCATATTACATCTGAAAAGAAATAATGAGATGAAATGAATTGAGTTTAACGTCCTATCTCTATGTAAGCAATTAGTTACAAATATAATTTAATATACCACATCAACCATCATCCAATCTCCCAAAGTGAAACTAAATGACATAGCACGGATTAGAAAAAAAATATACACTATGTGGCAACAGCACTTCCTATTTAAGACAGGCCCATAGCGGCACAGGGCGTGCTCGAACCTATATAAACACCTACTCAATCAACAGGAACATGCCATGTTAACAGGTGTTTCTATCGTGAACAGTGTCAGATACAATTTACGCGTTTTAATCGTTGTAATAGGACTGATATATAAATATCTCAGACAGGCCCATAGCTGCACGGGGGGTGTCCCCCTGAAAACAATTTAGAAAACCGACCAATTGCATTACTTCAACTAAATACAATTCACCTTTGCCAATCTGGATACTTGTCTCTCCGAACAATCAAGCTCGGCACAATGAAGCCCGACTTTGGGCCTGATCGCAAGCCTGATCATATAAATCTACTAAAACCTCAGTATATGCTCTAGCAATTACGACTTTAACACCAGATGCCAGCAATCACAATAAATAATTGTAAATAGAAACTATTAAAATCCTATAATTATCAAAATATTCAAATTAGATGTTCTCCAACTTATCCAACATGGCGGATACCACCTAAAGATCTGCGGCAAATCATGATCTCTACATGCATGTTCCGTTCCCTGCAGAAACACGCTTAAATATAGGCTTCATAGGAGAATATTCCCAACATAAAAATGAAGATCTTGAAAATGTGCGCAAGATCTGCCTTTGGTTTGTTATGACAAATAAACATCCGCTTCGAACTAAGTCGATATCGCAGATTGGATAAGCCTACAAAAACCTACTCAATCAACTGGAACATGCCATGTCAACAGGTGTTTCTATCGTGAACAGAGTCAGATACAATTTACACGTTTCACTTGTTGTAATAGGACTGATATATAGAAATAGAATTACAATCTAATTGCTTCAAGATATATACAGTCATTTTTCATAAATCAGTACACTCTGGACAACACTAAAATTTCTTTAAAATGCATTTAGATTTTAGAACTAATTTTTGCAAAAGTATATCCAAGTACTTACAAACTCTCGGTTTGTATCCAGCGGTTCCTGCAATTCTGTTCGGCTGCAGATTTAAAGCCACAATACCTTGACCCAACGACATAGGAAAACACGATAGTTTTTGATGTTTAAGGAGATGTGACCAGTGTTTCATAATTTGTGTATTTGTCTGATTTAAGAACGTAGTAACACTTTCCATAAATCAGCAAAACACTTTTCAAGACAAAAATCTAAATTTGAAGCTCGGATTATACCATTTTTTCAATCTGGTTTCTTTTATCTCAGGGGAGAGGTTTGATATGAAAAGGCGTCTAGCTGCTCGGATGAGACAATAAACCGTGGCCCCATTTGGTGCAAGCTGTGCACGTTAAAGATTTCCTTTATTCCACAATAAAAAAATAAAGACTACGTAGGGCCTACCACTGCAAAATTTCCCTCATTGTACACTGCATGCCGTTGTCAGTCTTCATCAGCCAAAGCAAGTTCAGAAAAGAATCGTAAAAGACGCAAAACACTATTAATTTCATATATAAATATGAATATAATTTAAGAATTAAATAAAAAATTAAAATCGGATTGCACGTAATCTGATTACAAATGAGAGTATTCGAGCATTTAAATAATTAGTCTACGTCCGGACATGTTAAGGAAAGCCTAACTTACTTTTTAAGTGTAGGCCTACTGAAGCGTTTACAGCCGCCGAGTAGAGTAACAATAACAGCCAACACATAAGTTATATCGATATACTGTAAAGAATAATATAATTCATATCATAATATACTATACAATAAACAGTACTGTTAAAATTTTGAAATTCAAGTCGTATCTATTTATCAATAATAAATGTAACAAGCATCATATATATACCTTGTGCATTGATTTCACTATAGCAACTAGCAAAATATCCCACGAGCATTATAACATTGACAAAAGATAAGAACAAAGTACAAGACAATTATTCACAATAGGCAACGAGAGGACTATAAAGGGTTAATGATATGGTTTTAAAACGAAGTAGGGCGTACATTATTTCATTTCATTTAATGTTTCAAAAGGCCTAAACCCTAAATAGTAGTTAGGACATCCAGAAAACAGAGACGCTACAGCACAATAGGCTTACATGTTTGATGGTGTCACATAATAGATATTATACTGAATCTGACCCCGAGGTTGAGGTAAATTATATCATAGGCATCCGAAAGAAAAAGACATTTCATGTCATAATGATGAACAACATACCTTTTCCTATTGTACTATTCCTAACATCGTGTAGGCCTAAGCTAAGACGTCAATATACTGTATTATCCAATGTAACAGTATATGGATGTGACCTCAATTGGGTACTAAGATTACCTTTATAGGCCTACCTGTCTACCCTTAATAATGTGGACAGGAAAAGAAAATCTGATAATATCATACCTTTCAATCACGAATTATCAAAATGTCGATGTAAGAACATACACGTGTGATAATAAATGTGCACTAAGGCATTGATAATATCAAATAGGGAGTCAATAAGGGTGTAACCTTATGTTAAGCCTTTATGCCTTATCGTATTACAGTGAATAAGAAGCCATTGAAGCGAATCTATTATAAACAATAACATGCATGACATTTGAATAAGGCTATGTCTCATATTTTACGTGCTATCAAAATGGGAAAATGTAAGATATGAAAGGCGGGTGTGGCTTTTAATTAAATTGGATTAAGTCGTCTAAGATTTTGATTTAACTGAATGTGAGAACGCTAATTAAGATTTACCTCTATCCTAATATCGATCATCAAATTAAGCGGAAGAATTATGTTAAGTAATGGAAGACGAAGAATGAGGTGAGAAAGAGATAAGCAGATATAGAGATATAGAGATGTTATAGTCATGAGATATATTGACGAGGGCAGAGGAAGAGAAATGAAGAATGAGGTTTGAATTAGAGAGTTGAAATAAGTATACTCAGAAATAAAGAAGAGGGAAGAAGAGTACAAATGAAAAATGACACAGATAGCTAAATGCAATAAGAATAAGAGAGAATAATTTAAGAGAGATATATAGACAAGTAGGAAGAGGGGAAATGAAGAATAGGATAAGAAGAAAAGGGAGATTTATTAAGTATAAGAGCTATAGAGAAGAGGATACACGAAGAATGGGGTAAGAAGCGTAGTAAACGAGATAAAAACGAGGGAAGAAGAGGAGAAATGAAGAATGAGGTTATTATTAGAGATATATGTGGAAAGTATAAGAGATGTAAAGACGAGGGAAGGAGAGGAGACATCAAGAATGAAGTTATTATTAGAGATATATGTGGAAAGTATAGAGATATAAAGACGAGAGAAGAAGATTAGAAATCAAGAATGAGGTTATTATTAGAGATATATATGTAGAAAGTATTGTATATCAGTCAAAAGTCAAATGCAAATATGGTGTGAACTATTCAATTCTCATTCTTCAGCTGCATGATTCAATATTTTGGGGAATGATAAAACGCTGAACCTGCAACACACATACCGATGTAAATACATTACTGGAGGGTAGGTAACCTTATCTTCAAAATTGTCAAGGTATAATAACGTCTTCATCTTATACCTTGACTATAATGTCCCACTTTTTCTGTTTGGCCGACATTGGCGAATGCAGCAATATGATTGGATTGTACGCTAGCAAAAACAGCCATTCTGAGCCCTCGAAATAAATACTGTAAAAAATAATTACCATGAAGTCGATGGCTCTGATTGGTTTTATTTGCTGGCGTACAATCAAATCAAATCGCTGACCATGAAACAAGACAGTGGACTATCGCAGTCAAGGTATAAGAGTAAGACGTTACACCTTGACCATTGTGATGAGATTACCTGGTTGGACTGCCAAACTGACTACAGAAAGCAATCATAGTGCCAAACACAACCTGCTAGCTTTTCTGGCTTAGTTTCTAAACTGCGTTTTATCTTTTCATACAAGATTCTAAATATTCTATAACATCCCCAACCTTGGTTCAACCAGCCACAATCATTCCGCCTGACTATCGATCTATAGACGTTCCTCAATGAATTATAGATTGATTTTCACATTTGAATGATTTTATTGATGGCTTAGTTTTTCTATGAATATTTTAGAAATATTTAGAGGTTATTTAGGTCAGAAGACTACAGTCTGTGAAACTAAGTCTCTAATGACTGTAATATCTACTGACTGCTATATTGATTATCAGAAATTGACTGGAATATAATTAATTGGATCAGTCGATTTCCTCAATGATAAAATCAAATCAAGATTGCCTGGTCGTTTGGGTATAAAAAAGAGTTATTGACCTTTAACTGTACTTCTTTTTCTTTGTCCATTCAAATCAGTATATAATTTAAAGATTTTGGTGATTCATGGAAAAGAAATCACAATTTCAAAAAAAAAGAATCCTAGTGAAAACTTGAGGTGCTGATCCACTTATGATGGCAATTCCATTTAGATAGATTTTTTCTTTACCTTTACAGAATTATACATATTGAACGACACTGTTGGCGATTCTGGTTTCATTTCATCATAACGAATATCGCAAATATAAATAAAATAGTTTCAACTTTCTTTGATCAGAAGCGAAGGTGCGCACAAAAAGTTGAAGAAAAAAAACTACGGTGCGAATAGGACTCTATAGCAATAAGGATGCAGAGTTGATATGAATAAAATATGGTTGAAAGTTAACTTCTGTTCGCCTCTCTGCTTAGTACACACCCTTGAAGATACAATACAATCAGTGCAATCTATCCAAATACACATTAACATAAACATATTTTATTCAAAAAATATATAACTTTACAGGCAATACAATGAGACAATTATATTCCTTGGCTCCTCACAATTATAGAGGATAGTAGATATATAGATAGATCTTCCTATTCCCATGTACCCCAATACCATTCTTGTGTATGTCAGTAATAGTAATAGTATTCCTCCCATTCACCGCCTGGTGGCACGGTAGAATTTGGCGGAAAAGTTGGTTGTATATCACCAATCTCGATATCTTGAAGGTTCATAGTTGTTAAGTCTCCAGGTTCTTCTGTCGTAGCTCCACCCTCTTCTACTGGTGGGTTGGTCGTAGTTGTAGTAATCCTGGTTGAAACCTGGATAGGGGGGCTATCCGCGAAACTGTGTCCTCTGCGAACGCTTTTCATAGGATCCACTCGACTTTTGTCTAGTTCAACTAAAGTTTTCATCAGCACCTTTTGAAGAATTGATGTAGAGTTATTGGGAACATGATTTCCCATAGAACCAGTTTCATCAGGAACTAGTTGAGAGTCATGTGAATGTATTACTTTCTTTTCCATAAATTTTTTCATAATTGCATCTTTTGTGACAATGTTTTGTTTTGAAGGAATTATTGAGTTTTCTTCAGGTCTTTTGTTGAATGAAAATAGTGGATTAATTGTGGGTGCTCTATTTAAAAATGGGTTTTTTCTCTGGCCTGGTTGTGGAGGAGCCTTGTGTATACTATTATGTGGTACAAAGGCAAATTTCGGATTAATGCTTGGCACATGCCGTAAAAATGGGTTGGGTCTCGGTGTCGGTGCTGTAGTAGTTGTCATGAATTGTAGACTATTTCGTGTATCTTGGCGATTAGGAAGATGATTAAAGATGAATGGATTAGACGGAGGTTTGCCAAATCGGTTTTTTCCTGTTTCGGGAGTTGTTGTTACCATTCTTAATTGATTAATTGAACCATCTGCGTTTTGTCTTTGAACTGTTTGGTTAACAAGCCGATTTTCTGGTTCAGAATGCGAAGAGAGAACCTCACCTGTATTACTACGAGTTACATTTGGTTCTGATTGTAACAATCCATCAAAAGTCTCATTAGTTCCAATCAAACTTCTGATCATCTGGTTAATCAGAGCAAGATCAGACACTTCATTACTCAACGCATTGTCACGATTTTGAGTAGAAGAGATAGTATCCTGAGACAGATCTGGAAGATGATGTTGATGATGCTTTGTAAGAGAATCGTGTTTAGCATTTTGGTGGTGACCTCGCACACCCATCTTCGATGGTTCTACAGTAGGATTAGCTGTGATAGATGTATCCTTTTGATTGATTTTTAAAGCGTATGACGTTGTGTGATCACTTAAGGAACCATCTATAGTACTTTCCCTGAGTTGAAAAGACTGGGAAGGGTCTTCTGTTGTTGTTTTAATTTCCGGACTAACAGCAATAGATTGCGTAGAGCTTACAACACGTGGTTGCTCTGTTGTTTCTGCCTCAAACGAACTTTCAATGGTATTGGTTTCATATGGATTGTCTGTGGTTGTGACGTCAATAGAGGGTTCAGTTGTATATATGATTTCTCCATCCGACAAGAAAACTGCATCCGTAGTGCTAGTCAGTTTCACTGGCGACATGTCTTGACGGACGGTTGTATGTCCACTTGTCGTATATTGAAATTTCTGCTTTGGTTTGTTGGTTAGTTGAACTGTGTGTTCACGAGGAGCAACGATCTTATCATATTTGTGTTTCGACATCGGATCTTGGTCGTCTTGTTTAACTATATGGTCATTAGTGATTGAGTTGGAATTGTCTGGTTTGGTGTGACCTTTTTTATTCGTCGAAGAAGCAGTAGTAGTTTTAAATTCCAGCTTTTGGATCTTAAGTCTTTTATTATGTATTGGAACCGTGGTAACTGTTTGTTGTGCCGTCAGTGGAGTGACTGGGGAGGTAACACTTTTTAAATATGATGAAGCATGAGATTTCTGAAGAACTGAAGATTTTATTACTGGTCTGGTTTTGGATGTAGTAAAAATATATTTATCATTTTGTGTGTTGGCCAAATTGCTTTGCTGTACAGAAACGAGAGTCTTGACGTCCGGAGATGGATTAGTTTTACTTTTAGATTTGTTGTTGAGTATATTTTGGTTTTCTAAATTTGCAATATTGGGTGGGATGTTATTTGACATGGGGTTTATTTTCTGTTCAAAAGTGGAAGATGTATCAAATGAACTACGACCTAAAGCTCTGTTCGATGTATGAAATGGATTTTGATTCATTGATCTATCCCAGAAATTATTTGGTGAAATTCCTCTAGCTAGTAAGCCAGGATGATGCATGGCTGTCCAAGAGTTGAAGTCAGTTGGATATGGAACTTGTTGTCCATTAAAATGAAACTGAGGTGACAAGAATTGTGATGGAACATTATTCCGGCCTTGAATATGCCAAGGAGAACCTGGAATGAATGGATGATGCATTGGTGGATTGTGTGAATTTGCAAACATTTTTGAAAACAGATCATCATAGAGTTTCTTGTAAAGAGCTTCATCAGAATGAACGGTTGGTCTTGTTGTAGTTGTCTGAACAGTCTTTTCAGTTGTAGGGTTTGTGGTTGTACGGATCGTTGAACTGCTCTCTGGTGATTCTGTAGTGCTAGTAGTTGGTATTAAGGTTGTTCTTTCGGTAAAGGTTATGGTATTTTCCTTTTGATATTGGTTCGTAGTTGAAACAACAGAGGGAGTACTGGTTTCTGAAATGGTTGTCATTCTTGTTGTTGTTGGCCTAAAGGTATGTTTCTCAGAATCGGGTTTAGTTGTTACTCCGGGCTCTGTAGAAATTGATGAAAATAAGTTTTGAATTAATGACTTTAACTTGTTGAAAAGCTTTTCCTCTTTAACAATTTCATTTTCAGAAGTGGTTGTTGTGGGTCGAATTTCTGGCTTTGCCGTGCTCGTAGTTTTCTTTGTTGACCTTTGGCTATGGGTTATATTGAGTAGTGTTATCGTTGTTTTAGATGATGTAATTGGTTTGAGTGTACTTGTGGTAAGTTTGGCTGTCGTAGTTAGTTTAACTGTTGTAGGTTTGATTGTTGTTATGGTAGGTTTGACAGTTGTTGGCATTAAAGTTGTTGTGGTAGGTTTTACAGTTGTTGTGGTTGGCTTGGCAGTTGTAGGTTTGACAGTTGTTGTGGTAGGTTTGGCAGTTGTTGTAATTGGTTTGACAGTTGTTGGTGTAGATTTGGCAGTTGTTGTGGTAGGTTTAACAGTTGTTGTGGTAGGTTTAACAGTTATTATAGTTGGTTTAACAGTTATTGTAGTTGATTTAACAGATGTTGTGGTAGGTTTAACAGCTGTTGTGGTAGGTTTGACAGTTGTTGTGGTAGGTTTGACAGTTGTTGTGGTATGCTCGATAGTAGTTGTGTTAGGTTTGACAATTGTCGTGGTAGGCTTGACAGATGTGTTAGGTTTGAAAGTTGTTGTGGTAGGCTTGACAGTTGTTGTGGTTGGTTTAACAGTTGTTGTGGTAGGTTTGACAGTTGATGTTGGTGTTGTTTGGAGCATTTTCATAAAGGAGTTTATGTCTTGAGAAAGTAACCTGTAAATGTCCCTATCTATGTCAGATATTGTGGTCAGTTTTGAAGACAGTGTACTTGCTACTGATTGTGAAGTAGGCGCGTGAGTTGGTTCCGTGGTATACATCTTATGACTTAGTGTAGTAAACCTATTCACAAAGACTTTGTTCTGTGTTCTATTTTGATCTGTACGGTTGTCATATCTATAAGAGTTGGTGTTTTGCAATGAACTCGATGTTATATAAGTTTCTGTTGTTTGTGGTATATCTACAGTCTTTGACCCCACCGCATTAGCTTGAATATTCTTACTCGATATGCCGAATGATTGAAGATTTACCGATGGTAGTTGACCATGTGGCCCAAGTAGAGCAGAAAGTGGGTCTTCTTGAGGTGATATGAGGTGTCTGAAAATATAGTTTTCTACAAGTGCATCTACATACGTACTATTTTTCAACAATTCCTCCTGTACTTCCTGAATGATTTCAGATTTGTTGAAAGATTGTTTGGTGGTGGTCGTGGGAAGTACGGCATCTTTAGAAGTCTTCGTGGCCTTTACAACTGTTGTTGCATTTTGGTATTTTGATATCGCAGGAGAGCTTGTTTCAGTAACTATTTGCGGTTGTTTCATAATAATTTGGTTGTGTTTGTTTGAATTTTTGTGACCTTTGTGATTGTGCGATAGTGTGGTATTGGAAGGTTTTGCGTTTTCTGTCATCATATCTATGGTGCTGTGAACTAAACTTGGGATATAATTTGCAGATAATTTCAAATCATGGTTGTATCTTGGTTGTTCAGTGATACCAATAAATGGTTGAGAATTAGTCTTTTCTGTTGCCAGTGTAGAAGGTTGTCTTGTAGTAGGGTTGAATGTTACTTCTGGTGTCCTCATAGTCAGAATACCGATCTCATCTGTTCGGATATTCTTTCCTCTAGAAGATGTAATTCCTTGCAATCCAGTTCTAATAAAACCAGTCATAAGAGATTCCCTGATTATTTCGTTCATTTTAGCCAATTCTGCTTTTACATTTTCTTCGTGTTGTGTCATATTAACTATTTGAGTCGTTGGTAATAGTGTTGAAATAGTTGGTGTTGTTAATTGTCTTGTAGTTGTGATCAGTTTAGAGGTTGGTTTTGCAGTTGTAGGCTTCATTGTTGTCATTGATCTTGTAGTTATTCTAGTTGTAGGTTGGGTAGTTAGTGGTTTGGATGTCGTAACAACAATAGCTGGTTTTGGAGAAGATGTGGTAATAATTGTGGTTGGATAACGAGTTGTCGGTCCATTTGTAGTAGTAGCTTTGGTTCTCTCTAGAATATCAACTATCTTTGGAAATTGCGAAATATTGTCTTTCTTGATGTTCCGAGATGGTGCTGGTACCTTAGGTTTGGCTACTTTGGTATCTATGGATACGGTTGATTTGGTTGTTTTCTTCATAAGAGAACTCACATCAATAGTTTTAATCTTCACGCCTGTGCTTCCACCGGTTAGGTAGATGTTTCCAAATGTTGAATATTTGGATTCTTGCAGTTTCGGCATTTCTGTCTTTTTCTTGTGGACTACTGGTGGTTTAAATGCTGGTGGAGGTGGGATGCGAGTTTTGTCAGTAGAAAATGCATTTGGTGTGAGGCCGAAATCATTATTGACGGCTGCCAACTGTTTGTACATATCAAAATTGTTGGTGAGAGAATTCAATCTTTCCATGGGGTTTTCCCATAAGAAATCAGTTAGAATATTCGATTTACCTTTTGAATTCTCCCTAACTTTGGTATCTTTAAAAGGATTAAAATCTAAGATTTTGTAGAATGGTTTCTCTGTTGTCGTCATCGGTGTTGTTGTCCAAGCCTTTGTCGTTGGAATTGTTGTGGAAGGCATCATTTTCTGTATTTCATCAAAGGGGTTGTGATCTGAATCATAGGCTGGGAAATCTGGCCATATCCACGGAATATCACTTGAAGCAGGTTTATTGATATTTTTCAAGTTAGGTTCTTGTTTATTTAACCTTTCAGATGGTATGGAATGTTTTCCACTAGCTTTCTTAATGTATTTAGGAACATTCGGCTTTTTACTCTTAGATTTTTGTGATTTAATAGATGAAATACCCAAACCCTCGGCGGTATAGGGAGTGGCAATATCATTAGATGATTCCTCAACCCTCATGTTAATTGATGGAGATGTAGGATGAGTACCGTGCCCCTCTGTTTTTCTAAGAATAACCTCATCTGAAAATATAGGCCATGTGGTAGTTATTTCAATATTGCTCTTGGTTGTCCTGTTTTTCAAACTATCTGTTATTCGGTCGGAAACTTTGCTAGTTGTCATAATTGTAGCTAATGTATCGTTTACTTCTTGGCTTAGCATGTCAGTTTCTTGCAGGGACATCATATCTATGGGTGAAGTCGGTTCTTTAAAACTTTCTTGCATTGTAATTTGCCTCTCAGTCAGATTAGGATGTGGAATAGGACGTCTTTGAAATGGTTGAGGTTTGCTTTTTCCCAGTCTGTCATCTGTGTCATTGTTATTTTGAAAGATCTTGTTTTGGTCAGCAGCAGCAGTTAGAGTATCTGTAATATAGTCAACATTACTAACAACACTGTGTCCTAAATTACTCATATGGTTGTGAAAATCTGGATTCAGTGTTATTCCTTGCCATTCACTTGGCTTTGAAGTAGTTATGACTTCGGTCATACCAAATCTATAGCTGGTTGACCCTCTTTGTTGGATTCTCGGAGATGACCTTATCGAAGGATATCTTGAATTAAGTCTCGTTCTAAGCCGATACCGCAATCTTCTTTGCCGTACGTTTGTAGCTTGACCTGCAGGAAGAATTTTAAGTCGCGGATGGTTGCGCAGTCTCCGGGGATTTATCTCTCTTTGCGACTTAATTTCTTCGTTTTTCAGTTGTTTTTCTTTCGATGTCTTCACCTCAGTCCCACTGTCGCCAAGAGGGTGTGAAAGTAGAATGTTTCCTACATCATTAACCAGAAGCGATTGGCCATTTCCTGTGGACTGTTTAACTGTTCTGTTTAGCGACGATGGTGAGCCAGGGAAGAACCTGTCATTTGGTGTCAGTTCGATCAAGTCGTTTGGTTGACTTATTTGAGGTTCCTGCAATGTGTTCAGGGGAAAACTCTGTCGAAGAGGCAATTGATCTGAACCCTGCTTGCGTAATCCATTCTGGGGTGAATCTGGGGTGAGATTATTAATGCCTCGTGATGTATGTTGATTAATCTGCTGTTTATTCTGATATTGGTCTGTATTTATTTGGTTTACATGATGTGATTGTCGGGCATTCTGAAACTGGTTTCTATTTATTTGGTTGACATAGGGTAACACATTTTCATTTCTGTTAGAAACGTGTTGTTCGCTGTTCAATTGTTGATTTATGTTTCTTCCAAGAATACGGTTAACCATCTGTGGTCGTTGTGACCGTAGCCTTTTCTTTTCGTCCCTCTTTTGATTTTTCCTCCGTCCTCCAAGTTGGTTTATTAATCCAATTTTTTGTCTGGGGGATGCATTTTCGACCAACCCCTCACTATCACCTTTTAAACCCCTATTATTACTGATTTGTTGTAAATTGTTTCTGGCGTTTCTGTTTGAAGTAATTTGGTTGATTGCAGGTAGAACTCTTAGAGCATGCATCATAGTACGTTGTCTTGAATTAATATTATTGGGCCTGGAATCATGTGAGCTATTGATCCCTCCTTGTTTCGGAGAAGGATTTTGTAGCATATTCACTGAAGGGAACGACCTCAAGTTCTGTCCCTCACTTCCTCGTGCAATTTGATTTCTCTTAAATTGTTCGTTAACTTCTAAAGTCTTCTGTTCATTATTTAAAAGCAACAATCTACTATTATTTTGACGTTGAACATTTGGATTAACCAGACTCTGTTGTATTCGATTTCCGCGTTGCGATATCCGATTGTTATATTGTGTTTGTTGCAATGACGGCGCAAGCCTCTGGAGTTGGCTGTAGTTATCTGATACTCGACCATTTCTTTGCTGGTGAACGTCACTGCCTTGTAGAAGATTATTTTGTCTTACCCGACCAGCGTTTAGACGTGTGTTGATCTGTGATGTCCGAGCACCGGTCCGACCCACCCCACCGCCATCCTGCCTAAACTGTCTAATATTTTGTCGCAATTCACCACGGTGTTGCGTTATCCGACCATTGTTTTGTGCTATTCGACCAGTTGTTTCGACCGTTGTTTTGTACTATCTGACCATTGTTCTGTGCTATCCGACCACTGCTCTGTGCTATCCGACCGTTGTTTTGTGTTATCTGACCACTGTTTTGTGATATTCGACCACTGGTCTGTGATATTCGACCACTGTTCTGTGCTATCCTGCCACTGTTTTGTATTATTCCTCTATTGTTTTGTCTTGAAGTTCCACTGATCTGTGGTGAGGTTCTAAGCTGGTTAATCAATGTTGGTCGTTGACCTCCAGGGTTATTCTGGCTCTTGAGATCATTGCGATTTATCACGTTATTGTTCCGATTCCGTCCATTAACAAATCTTGATCTCTGCAAGGGAACAAAACTATCAGTTATACATCGTCCTATATACCACCATAACAATTAAAATTCTAAATACCGTGTCTTATTCAGACAATATAATTTCGTGGGAATTTTTATCAATCATTCTATTTTTCATACGAGTAGGGAAGTCTGTATTCATATACCATTCACCCTCGTGCTGTATTAAAGAAATGTGTGAATATTATAAATAATTCGAATATTTTTTTCCTGATCACGATACGAAGTCGACTGGCCAAATGAAACACGATAGGACTTTGTAAACGGGTGTTTTGAACGAACGATGTCGGTTATGAGGCCATAGCCTTGCATGGAATTTTGGATAAAGGAAAAAGATCTCACTTGTAAGTCCATAATAAAAGCTTTAAATGAGATAATGGACTTATTTATTTCCATTTGCACATGTATTCGAGGTGGAAACTATGGTTATACGTACATTTTATAGAAATCCAATTTGAAAAGATTAAATTATAAATTATTTATAAATACTGCAATAGATTGGTTTTTTTTATGATAGATAACTATAATTTGATGTTCTGTAACCTTATTTAGTATTGTCTGATTTAAAGAAGATAGTTTTTTTGTATTCAACTCCGTTTCGTAAGTACATTCAAATAGGCTATAGTCTGTTTGAAGTAGCGTGAACAACATCTTACGCGTAATATTTGGCACTGACTATATACCATGCCGTGGTAAATACCTGTAATGGTAATTTTGGCTATTTACCACGCCTTGGTATATAAATCCAATATGACCATATAAAATAGAAAAAAAAAATTCTGGCTCACTGAATGAGATTATACTTATGAGATAGTTATTAGCATAAATTAGCAAGTAGAAAAATTTAAATTGGAACTGACCTGTTGATTATTTGGCTGTCTTCGAATATTTCCACGTAGTATATTCTGTCCATTTGATATTTCTACAATAATATATAAAATATATCCTAAATAATAAAACCTCATAGTGTAATAAAGATCTCATAGGATATATTATTATGTTAAATTTGAAACTGTGGACAGATTATGATAGTGATTGGTTATTGATCTGTTTGATTGATTGATTGGTCTAATGTACTAGTTATTATTATACTAATAACATGTCAAACATATTACATCTACATCTCTTACATTATCTACACCTAATTACCTTCTTGCATAACTTAACACGCTTCTCATCAACAACATAAAAACGCTTTATTAAAGATTCTGTTTCAGCAAAAAAATACCCCAAAAACAACAATGTTTTGATTGCATCGATACCAAAAATAATTCACAAATGAGACAATCGATAAATATACATAACAACACTGTAAAGCATGCTATTTTACAAGGAAATAATACAAAGTCTAAGTTAAAAATTGAATCCGCCGAAACAATATGTGGTTCCAGGAAAACTGACTCTAATAATTTGCAATTGATATCAATCAAGTCGTTTGATAATTTTGTAATGTGTGGAACCTGACGACGTCATCTGCATTAGAAAGTCTCTGAAATACCTTTAACCATCAATGAACTATAATGATATAATAGTGATATTGTTGAGAAGTTATTGATAACACATACCAAGCAGTCTGACGGACGACATCCATCATCTTCACAGTCTCTAATGTGGACAAAGTGGGACGTGGTCGTATATAAACTATAATTATTTCTGGTTAAAAATAAATTACTTAGACTTGACGAAATCAAACTTCTTTCCAGCATCAAGTACGTAACTGTCTATAGCAATTGATGCTCTGTTCATTTAAAATGCTGCGGAATGGAAGGTCAGGGGAGGGGCCAAAATATTTAAAAATTATCATGGTGCGTTTTGAAATGGAATGAAATGTTTTTAAGGAGTCAGCTCACAGGTAGCTCAGTGTACGCTTGAACTTGTTAACTTGTGTTCTTTGCAGTGGTCAACCCCGAAAAGATACATAAAATGAGGTAATTTCAGATTAGTAGCCCAGATTTTCTCTATCTAAGATGCATTGGAAGTACTGACATGGAAAAGTGTACAAGTACCAATGTTGGCTGCCTACGGATTTCAATAATTGCGCACTGCATGGCGTTTGCCGATAAACCTAATAAGATCTAAAATTCCATACCGTTTGTGTGTGTTATTTAAAATTTGACGAAAGAAACTAGAGAAGTAAGTTTATATGAAAGAAACATGGTCTGAGCAAATTGTTTTTTCCACCAAGGGAGATAATAGCATGAATTCATAAAATCATGGCTTAATGTTACAGGCAAAGGTTAAAAGGGTAATAAAATAACTAACTTGTGTTAACTTGAATTATGCTACGGTCTTGAGGCCTGTGTAGGTTGTTGTTCTATGTCACATTAGGCCTTAACAATGAAATTGTATATATTTAAAGATGGGTTTCTTTATCTTTTTAGTGTCAAATTCAGCAAACTATTTGATTAATTTGTGTTTCTTATGAATTATCATGTATCCTTAATCATAGCATTATTTTCTTATTGCTTATAATTAAGAGTTTTAACCAATCATAAATGTCCATGTATGTACAGTCTGGATAAACTAAAAAAAAAGACTTTTTGACTTTTCTTGATCTGTTACGCATTGGAATTCTGCTGGTAATTCTCTTTTAACTTAGCTAATTATGAATTAATTATGGACATAACAAACTGGTATTTTTCCATGTCATACGTCTACATGTATTAGCATTTTCATTTTCATAACTGATAAAGGGAACCCATCTTTAGTAATATGGGTAAAAAAATATGGGTATATAGTAAAAACATGTAAAAATTTGTTATAATTAAAAAAGAAACGACAATAGAATATGAGCATTAAAATGTTAATTTGTGAGAATTGCATGCATTTGACGACAAGAAAGAATAGTTTTTTCAAATAACAGTCAACGTTAGTACATCATACATCATAACTTTCTACTCAATAATGTCACTCGGGGAATTCTTTTCTAAAAGTGTGTCTTTCTTTCAGCTATTTTTGCATATCACGGTCATGTCATGTCATGTTTATTGATTTAATCTTGTAAACCGTTAGGGTTCGATTTAGGGAATTAAACTATTTTCTGCCGTTCCTTTCAAAACTGTAAGAATTCGAGGGAATCAAATTCTCTAATTGAATGGGAATATCCTGTTTCCTCGAATTCAATATGGTGTCAAATCAAAAGACAAACTGTGAAATGAGACTCAGGTCGACCTTAAAACTGTCGGAAATTGAAAAGCATTGATGGATGGAGTGTTATCAACTGATCTAGGAATTTTTTTTCATGTAGCTGGTTGATTATTCGGTTTAAGCGTAATACACTGCCATGAATCCGATGAGTTGCCAACAGTCGCAAAAAAAACCATTAAAAACGTTAAATTAATACATGTTTGTAATAGTTTACCCTCACTCTATTCAAGCTTGTTTATGAGTTGATTCGCCACATCTCCAAACATGTAATAATTAAACATTTTTGATGTAGTTTGCCCATCACCTCTTATCATTCTGTGCCTGTACGCTGCATAAAACTTTAACCAGTGATTGTTATTCCACAAAGCTGTGTCTATATATCGTACTCAACATTAATAAATGTCATTTAAAGACTTGAAAAGATGTTGTTATTTGGGCTGGTAACCACCTTGTGCGCTAAAAGATTCCTCTATCGACGTTTGATGTAGGACAAGGCCACTGCTTTGGCAAATTTCGCTACTTGCATATCCACAGTCGCTGCCTGCCTTTCATTGGTCGTATAAGGGACAATCCGTAAGTGTTTTAAAGTTGGGCTTGTGCTTTGTCCATCTTATAAAGGATATTATTAAAAACTATTAATCAAAAAGAATATCATCAGATATAAAACTATAAACTTAGATTTGACATAACTTTTACACAGAACACAGATAGTTCATCTCCATAAACTTTCTATAATAATTTATCAATTATATTATGATGGTCTCTACAAATTTATCATTGTCTGAAATAAACAAATAAATAGCCGTGAGAAGAAAATTGAAAGTTGAAGACCTACATTTGAATTGAACTTATTCTGTTTATTGACATATCCCAGGGGGTCTTTCTTCAATCAATTTTATAGCTTTAACTTTAAGCGTCCAAAGACTTTATTGAAGTGATTGGAACGAGCTTTTATAACTTTATATGTGTATCTGATAATCTGATAGTGTCATTTTGCACCATTCCAATTTTCAATCACTAAATCCACTAAAACTATAAGTGTTTGATGACATCACTTATCGCGAAGGGCCTTACGTGATAAAGCATATTTTTCTATATATACACTCAAAATGAATTATGAGATGACATGATAGTGTAAAGAATACTATAATGTTAACAAGAGATTATTGTGTATTCTATATATTGTTATTACACCTATTAATCGAACTTGGCCTCAAATTAAGTACCTGATGTGTGTTTTTATTATGCCTGTCTATGCCATTGTTAGTGACCAAGTATTGAAAACCGACAATGGCCGTTGTATTAGAATTTTCTTACGTTGAAGAGGATTCAAACCACCAAATCGCCTAGCAGTAGACAATCAAATTCGCTACCGACTGAGTTATTCCAAGGTTTACGTTTATTGACATTCCAACACTATTGGGGTGGATTCGAAGGGATGACAATCGAGGATTTGGCATAGTCTTTATGTTTTGTGCAGAAAGTAAACATAAGAAACTGAATACCACTGTGATTTTTCATTTGTTTTTGCACTTGAATCGACTCAATCAAGGGATGGGTCAGATTCACCACGAGCAAGAAGCTTCCGAGTGCAAGCAGTCGTTGAAAAGACCGGAAATGACATTGATCATAGATGATCATATACGAATCAGAAAATGTCATGCCGACCCAAACTTAAGGTATTAATTATGATTTATGATGAACCTACTAAGGTTAATATTTCCGATAATAGTAAATAAAAACGTAGGCCTATATGTCGTGGGAAATATTTGAATAGCATTGACAAGGATTCTCCTCAAATTATCCTACAAATGAAATGAAAATAATTGTTTTTGATGAATGACCTTATGTAAATGACATCGGTCTATATCGATCAAAAAATCAACTTTTTCTATTTGTGGAGACGTGAAATGTTTTTATGTTTTCTTTTATTTACTTGTTGCTTCCGGAACACCAAGTATGATATAATATAGGCCTATATATTAACAAGTGGTCAAGTGTTTTTTGATGGATAGGTCCTTATTTTCAAAGGCTGATAGATTTGAGAATATTAGTACCTATAGGTGAAACTCCAAGGTACACTGATCTGACCTATCTGATCTGAAAATGATCTAATGAATAAGCAAAATGTCACCATCCGGTCAAAATATACCGTCGTCGAACTTGTTCTGTATGAGTTTCGCCTGGATCCGTTCATATATCGACATGGTTATTTTAAACTTTACTTTAAGGAAATGTCATCCAGTCTAAAAAGAAAAGAGAATGCGTCATGAATGATGGAGGACAACAATTAATTAAATCATGTTAAATGTATAGTGTGTTTAAATAGCATGTTTTATAACGGCCTCACTTGAACACCCATCAATAAACTGACGTTCAATCTAGTAGACATTGTTATAACATGGGGTCTATGTACTTTATCATTGACATTTAAGAAATCACACCATGGCTGTCGTGAGCTAATCCATCATATTATCTCTGTAGGATCAAAGTAAAGATGATAAAAAGTTCAATTCAAAGATTTGTACACTCAAACACCTCCCCTGATAAGAAATTGCCACTTGATCAGTGGAGGCCCCAAAAGGAGGGAGGGGAAGACAGGGGCCCAGTTTATTTCAAATAGCATAAAAAAAATTGGCGGTGCCCACCTCTTATTAACTGTATTAAAACATGCTCAAAAATTCCTTGATAATCTGCAGTTGAAAGGATTAAAAATTAAAGATTCACTATTATTCAAAATACCATACGAGCTTTTCGAGTTCAAATGGCACAATGTACATTTGTGTAAAATGTAAATATAATTTATAACACCCCACCAAAAGATTAAGCATTATTATTTTGATAAATCATGTATATATACGCATATACAACAGTTTTGATCTGATTTGAATGGAATTTGGTGTGATCATTTATATTCATGAGATCTTGGACTAGTTCGAATTTGACGATCTTTCGATGAACGGTTTTTGAGTTATTGCCCTTGACTTATGAAAAACGCGTCAAAATTTGGTTGTGAACACAATAGAGACTACAGTTTTCATCCAATTTAAATATTATTTGGTGTGAATATTTATAATGAGATCTTGGACAAGTTCGAATTTGGCTATCTTTCGATGAATGATTTTTTAGTTATTGAGCTAGACTTATGAAAAACACGTCAAAATTTGTTTGTGAACACAATAGAGACTACAGTTTTCATCCAATTTCAATGAAATATGGTGTGAATATTTATAATGATTAGATCTTGGACAAGTTCGAATTTGGCTATCTTTCGATGAATGGTTTTTGAGTTATTGCCCTTGACTTATGAAACACGCGTCAAAATTTGTTTGTGAATAAAGTTAAGACTACAGTTTTCATCCAATTTAAATGAATTTGGTGTTGATATTTATAATGAGATCTTGGACAAGTTCGAATTTGGCTTTTTTTCGATGAATGGTTTTTGAGTTATTGCCCTTGATTTATGAATAACGCGTCAAAATTTGTTTGTGAACACAATAGAGAGTACAGTTTTCATCCGATTTAAATAAAATTTGGTATGATCAATTATAATGATGAGATCTTAGTTCAGATTGAATTTGACAATTTTTCGATCAACGAAATTTGAGTAATTGTCCATGACTTAGTAAATTTGTTGGCGATAGAACTGGCAGTTTATGACATAATTTTATTAAATAATGTGTCTTTGTTTAAATCAACAATATCTTGCACAAATTAGATTTTTGGTATGATTAGACACAGATAAGTGACTTCCCTTGATATACTGAAAATGTATCAGGAAAGTGGGCGTATCTTGCTAGGCAACCACTTGTACATAATGGCTAGAGTACACTTCCTATTGCAACAGACTTAATGATCCGTCGTCACATCGGGAGCGCTCTCTGGACAAAACTGTACTGTAAAATTGCAAAATTTTGATCATGGAAAAAATGAAGTGGTAGAACAAAATGAAAAATTTACAAAAATAAACCAATGGATTGTGTTTTGAAATATATATTTATGACAAAAGCAAAAAACACTAACAAAATATCGACTGAAATGTAAATTGAGAATTTGATACTCTAGTTTTTCACACTTTTCTTCAGGATCCTGTCGTTTTAATATCAGTGCTTTCTCAACTGCTATAAAAGTTCACATGCGTTTTCATTTCTAAGACTACAGCACTTTACAGAATATAAATGCGACGCAATGTTCGTCTGAATCCATAACAGATTGAAGTGACCAGCTAAATTTTAATTGTCTTTTTTTCGAAACAGTACATAGTCCAGTATACATTTGCAAATTATAAATGATAAAATCTGAAAATATAATCAAAAGCTACGGCTATAGACAAAGGCAACCATATGCGTTAATGGCACTTTAAATTATTTAAATTGTTCTATTTACAAAGCCCAAATTACTATGGACAAAATAGTATAAAATAAAAATATGGTTTATCGTTATAACTGTCTTGTCATTCAGGAACCTAATTCTCACAAATTTAACTCAAGATGATTTTAGTGTTCCAGTCATCATAATTATGGTCATCAAACCATTATAATATCAGATCACTGATTCAATCTGGTTTATATTTGGTTATGTTTTCGAGAATGAAGCACATCCAAATGAAATGGTGTTTAAAGTCCTACTTTTCTGCACCTGGTTGGTTTAACGGGCAACACTTTATTTACAAATTTTCTCGAGGCTGTGACATCAAACCTACTCGTTTTTCGAATTCCAGCTGTCGATGGATCTACTACATTTCCCAGGTCAGTCCCTCCGACCTGCATCACTGACAGGGGGAAACTGAGTTAAAAAAATTGATATTCTCGACCTATGTCAGTATTGAACTTTGGACCTTCAGGTAAGTTACAATTGATCACTGAACCAGGAGCCTTCCCCTTGGATTATCTAAGATAAAAACAATGTGCGTAAATACTTATCTTGATCTTTCAAAATATTACTTATAAGTTTGGGAATTGATATCATTTCGACAAATGAGCTATTACAATTTCATGTTTAAAGTAAACATTTTTCCGTATCCATTGTAATAACTAGTGAATGTAATTCTGTGGGTTTCATCATTTTCTGAAGAATGTAAATATTTATCACTTACGATCCCGAATTCGTAATTTTAACTATAATAAAATAAAATATCAGACTCAACAATATTCTTGCATGCATTCATTCACCATCTACAAAATTCAAACAGCACAAATAATCCATCTATCACTCGGTTGTTTTTTTTTATTTTGGCTATATGGCGTCTTGGACAAGGTACCTCGTCTGGATTTTTCTGTTTTCATTCACGCTGGTGCACTGTTATTTGCCTCTCAGATCACTAGAAGCTATAGTTTTTAAGAGAGTGGAGAATTCATCATCGTCGACACATTTACATTTACATCTTGAATGAACACAGGATTGAGTTTTACAGTTTCTCATACACCATCCAGACATACCGTCCACGTAACTCCATGCTGGGGAAGAACGACACCATAAACATGGTTTATCGCTAGGACATTTATTGTCCGTCTTAGTAAAATGTTCTGCTATAGAATTTAACTTTTGTCTGTTTTCTGTTTCACTTTTCTTCATCAACTGTAAAATATGAAAACAATTTTTTTGTCTGAATTATATGATGCCTCTTCAATGTTCATTCCTTTTTATACACCCACATTTCTCTATGTGGGCGTATATTGTCGGTCCGTCCGTCCGTCCATTTGCTTGTAAACACTCTAAAACTACATTTTTTGATGGAATCAAATGAAATTCGGTATGTGTATACATATTCATAAAACGAAGATCAAATTCGAATTTGAGCTATTTTCGACCGTTAGAAGCAGAGTTATTGCCCTTGCCCCAAAACCTTGAATATTTACTATCCGCATGCCGTGGTGGACGTATATGGCTGTGGTCCACTATGGCAATTCTCGGTAGTTTTCGTAAAGCCGAATCTATGTGGCGGAGAGCCCAAGCAGAAATTTCATGGTAGACTGTTCTCATTCAGGAGTGAACAATTATTGTTGGCCGTCATACATGTACAGTATTTATGAAATAAAAGTACTCACCAATTGATTTAGCTCTTCTGCTGTTTTTATTCCGTTTGATGCCAAAATACTTCTCAGTTCTGAAAAATCTTTTGAATTAAATGAGTCAGATGTCGATGGTTGAGTGGTTGTGGGTTTAGAAACACTGTCAGCTTTTCCCAATGTTATAGATAGAGTTGGTTCATTAAATGATATTGATGTCTGAGTATTTCTACCAACTGGATCTTTGCGGTTGTTACTGATTGCTGTGTTGTGAATGGTTTGATCAATGACTGTAGACGTTGCTGGAATCACTGTTGTGCTTGTAGTAGGTAGTGTGGTACTGTCCATGGGATCAGCGATGGTGAAAAGCAATCGTGTCGGATTGATTTTGTTTAAGTTCTTAATTTCGGCTGATGTATATTTCCTTTTAGTGTGAGTGGTAGATGGATGTCGTTGGATAAGATTCTTGAGGCTGGTGATTACTTCATCTGTGTTCTTTTGACTTATACTGGTCTTCAGTTTAGGAGTTTCAGCTGTCACTGTATTGTGGTTGGTCGCGGTTGAGTAACTGTGTACTTCATTGGGCACTTTTGCCCTTTTGCTGCTCGATATCTCTGTAATTTCCTTTGGTGAATCCACCAAAGACGAGCTTAGAACGGGACTTTGGTCAGCAACAATACCGACTTCTGGAACTAATGCTATTCCAACCTCTGTTGGTATATTCTCTTCATTTGCTGGTGTTTCTACAACGTGTGGTGTTGAGGTGGTATTGCTGACAGTTCTATTGTTATTAGCTGTTGCATCTGACGTATTGGAGACTTGGTTTGGTTCCAAATGACTCAGCTCTGGATCGATAAGAAGGCCAGTTTCGTTATATACTGTTTGTTCACCAACTTGGGCTGTCGAGGCCTGTGATTTGCCAGTAGCCTTTGCAACAGGTTGTGCATTGGTGGGATGATAGAAAACTCCAGTTGGTTTAACCGGATCAAAAGCGTTTGAAATTTGTCCAAGGCTAGCCCCTGTTGAGATGGTAGTTCTTTTATTGGAAGTCTGATCCAATACTTGTTGACTGGTAGACGAGTTAGCATCAATGGTTATCCAGGTTAAAACACTTCCATTATAAAGTGTGTATGAATGCCAGACTGGAACATTGCGGGTATGTTTCAGGATGTAATCTAATTGGTGACCTTGTTTCAGTAGAGAGTCGAAGATGTTAGAGGTTAACCTGCGTGTGTTAGTGGATGTATTGACCGGTGTGTGGGCAAACACATCTACGAATCGAGAATTATCGTGGTTTGAAAGGTTAAGTTTACTCCTCTCCACATTATTAGTGGTAATGACAGTTGGAACACTGGAGTTGTGATGCTGTTGCAGAAACACTTCCGAATGATTACTGTGGCTTGTGGTCACTTGGTTGTTAGATACAGAGGAATGAGATGCTTTGAGTGTTAAAGCTGCTGGATTGAAAACTTGTCCTTGACGCACGGAAAATACATCTGCTAATGGAGAATTTGTCACTGTGGTGAACTTATTAATGTACGTTGTATGGGTTGTATTGATCTGTCTAGATTTCGTATTGGGTGTTAAAACAACTTCCGATGTATTTGCAAGCATTGCAATCTTTGAAGCATTGTCTGGCTTAAGGTTATTAAAAGTGGTCAGCGACGGTGATACTGGCTGTTGCTTAACTTTAGTAAGTGCTTCTATTGGGCCTCTCACAATGGGATATGTTGCAGTGGGAGGTTGGTTAATATTTGGTTGGACTGCGACACTGGACTGTTGGTTTTCTGGTGGTGAAATACTACCATTAACCTGCAGTGAAATTTGAAAAAAGATGAAAACTAGGAATTATAAATAAATTTTTTTATATTGTGACCTCCAAAATTTAAATAAATTATTACAAATTAAATATATATACTTATAAAAACAATTAATATCTGTAACATTACAACTCACCGTTGTATTGTTAACAATATCAGCTACGGTATTTAAAGCTAGCAATTGGTCTCTTTGTCCTTGGGTAAACGGGACTTCTGCAGTTGGCAATAAAACGGAACTGCTGGTAGCACCACCTGGCTGCAGTTGACCAGTATTAATTATTGCTCCTGGTTTTATAGGAATTGACTCGATTACAGTTTTTGCCAGTGGGCTTTTATTTTTGATTAGAGCACCGGGGTCACCTGGGTCAGTGTGCGAAACTGATGTTTTGTTTGTGATATCTAATGGTAAAACTGGATGAACGGATGCGATAGGAACATTGTTTGACACAGAAGGTACCAACGCTACGACAGCTTCGATAGGAACATTATTTGACTGGATCGGCAAAACTGGATTATTGTTTGGTCGGATCGGTAAAACTGGAACATTGTTTGTAACAACAGGATCAACTGGAACATTGTTTGTCACAACAATGTTGACTGGCAAATTGTTTGGTCGGATCGGTAAAACTGGAACATTATTTGTGACAACATGATCGATTGGATAGTTGTTGGTCACAATAGGATCAACTTTAAAATTATTTGCTACTACAGAATTGGCTGGATAATTGTTTGTGACAACAGATTCGGATGGGACATTGTTTGCTCGGATCGGCAAAACTGGAACATTATTTGTCACAACAGGCTTGACTGGAACACTGTTGGTCACTACAGAATCAATTGGAACATTGTTGGTCAAAAATGGATCGACTTCAACATGGCTTGTTAATACAGGTTTAGCTGGAATGTTGTTTGTTATCGCAGGATTGGCTAGAAAATTGTATGTCGAAGCAGGATTGACTGGAACATTGTTTGTCACAACGTGATCGACTGAAACATTGTTTGTAACAACAGGTTGAACAGGAATATTGTTCGGAATGATCGGCAAAATGTGCACATTGTTTGCCGCAACAGGATCAACTGGAACATTATTCGTTGCAGTAGGATCAATTTCAACATTTTTGATTACGACAGGATCAACTTGAACATTGTTTATTACTACAGGCGTGGCTGGAACATTATTTGTTACTACAGGATTGACTGGAATATTGTTTGTTACTGTAGGATTGGCTGGAACATTGTTTGTTACTACAGGATTGGCTGGAACATTGTTTGTTACTACATGATTGACTGGAACATTGTTTGCAACTGAAGGATCGACTGAATTATTGTTTGTGACTGCAAGGTTGGCTGGAACATTGTTTGTGACTGCAGGATTGGCTGGAACATGGTTTGTTGTTGCAAGATTTGATAGAGCATTGTTGGACACAGCAGAAACAACTGAAACAATGTTGGTCACAACAGGCTTGACTGGAACAACAGGATCAATTGGAACATTGCTTTTTACTGCAGGGTTGGCTGGAACAGTTTTCATTTTTACAGGATCGACTAGAGCAGGATCGACTTGGACATGGTTTGTCACAACAGGATCAATTACAACAGTTTTTGTTATAACAGGATCAATTGGAACATTGTTTGTTACAACAGGATCGACTGGAACGTTGTTTGTTACGACAGGAACGTTGTTTGTCATGACCGACACAGGATCGACTGGAACATTTTTAGTTACAACTGGATTACTAACAGCATTGTTTGTCATAACAGAGACGACTGGAACGTTGTTTGACACGACTGACACAGGGTGAACTGGAAGGTTGTTTGTCATGACTGGCACTTGATCGACTGAAACATTGTTTGTTACAAAAGGATCGATAATAGCATTGTTTGTCATAACATTGTTGACTGGTGATTTTTGTTTGTTCATGTTTACAACTTGGTTGGTTAAATCTTTCGCTGGATTGGAGGTGATAGTAGTTACTGGATTGGTGTTAGTTGGGTTTGGTTCCACTGGAAGTGCGGAGTTGGTCATATTAACGGCCTTTATATTCAGGATAATCGAGTTTCTGTTTGCTGGAGCTGGTTTGTCTACGGGGGTTTTCAAAACAATGCGACTTGAAATTGGTAAATTGGATACTACATTCGATGGAGTGGGTTTATTGGTACTTGTGTTAACATTCTCCACATTCGTGTTTGTCAAAGGCATTGATGCAGGCACTTTGACTGAACTAATC